ATTGATTGATTGATTGATTGATTGATTGATTGATTGATTGATTGATTGATTGATTGATTGATTGATTGATTGATTGATTGATTGATTGATTGATGGACTGATTGTGTCACAGCTTGGTGGCTCTGTGGTGACTGTGGAGGTGAAGAAGACCCAAAGTGTAGGATGCAAAAGGCAGAGTTTATACAAAAACCAAGTTTTTAATACTGAAGGGCACGTCAAAGTCCAAAACATAAATCCAAAACAGCTAGACACAAAAAGAACAATGGGGACCAAAAACACCAGGGAATTTCACCTGGAAGGCAGCAAGGCAACACAAACAACACAACACCTATAAAAGGACAAAGGACTATAAATACTTGAATGAAGCAGGAGAGAAGTGAAGGAGGTGAAAACAATTAGAACTGGAAAAAAACAAAACTGACACAGGACATAAAAGAAGACAAACCTTCAAAGTAAAACTGGGAAGAAAAACTAAAGAGATTAACACAGACATGACACTTTAGGGAAACACTAATACCATTAACATTGATAAAAGACGCAAACTAAAACAAAAGATAAGATGAGAACTAAAACTCTGACAACTAACCCAAACATCATATCCTCAAACAACAGGGAGGCTAAACACAATTATTAACCAAACCCTGATAAGAATGTGATATTTTACAGTCTTTAACATTAAGAGGGATGAATTAAAAATACAAAATAAAAGATTTTTCGTGCACTTAAATTTAGAGTAAGTGAACCTTTGTGCTGTTGTATCATCTATCCTCAGCATGTGCATACATTAAAGAGAAATCAACATGTGTGCATTCATTTTGTGAAGGGATTCAGGAGGGTCACGAATATGTTTAAAGGTGCTTTTGGTACGGCTTTTTGTTTTCTCTTGGGCAGGTCACAGAGGCAGGTTCATCTGCAATTTTGGCTGATAGGTTGATCTCAGTGCCAGCCTATATGAGATGATGGCTAAGCTGGAACACTTCTACACATCCTATCTGCAAATCTCACACAGCATGCACTGGTTAAGGTGCTTTAGACGGCCTATGGTTGCTACTTTGCAACCCACCTCCACCCTGCTCTTTCTGATTGTGGTTAATGACGCCTCTTCTGTGGGCTCTCTCACCTGAACTTTCTTTTTTTTTTCTCTCTCTCTCTTTTTTGTGACTGAATGATCATGAACTAATCACATGGCAGTAACTCAATGTGTTCAGGCCAATATGACCTGCTGAAGTTCATACTGAGCATCAGAATGAAAACAAAAGGTCATTTAAGTGATTTTGAATGAGGCATGTTGTTACTGACGAACAGGTTGGTCTGAATATTTCAGAAATTAGGATGTATTGAGCTTTTCAAACACAAGCATCCCACTCAGGTACTAATCTAAAAAAGAGAAAAATATCCAGTGAGCAGCAGTAATCTGGGTTTTTTCTATTGTGTATTTTTTCTGTTGTTCGATATTCAAATGGCTGGTGTAAACAGCATGAAAGCAAGGAGCAACTCTGCCTTCTGTCAGTCTTCAGGCTGGTGATGGTGTAACAAGAGTGATGCTGTCATGTCTGTACAGACCACACTGTTGAATCTACACCACAAGGAAGACATTAAAACTTCCAACCCAGTACCAGCTGGTGAGAGGATATTGATCCTTAAACGGCTGTTACTGTTTATTACCAATATGTGGGAAGCCTTTCTTATCTACAGTGGTGATGAACAGAGAGAAACAAAACCACATTAATAGAAGTTTGTGAAACAGGTTCTGATAATTATGTCAAAACACAGAAGTTGAAATTAGAGCTCATTCACTTTACCCTTAAAAAAAAAAAAGCAGCCCCCTTTTCTTCCGCCTTTTGCTCATCAGCCCTTTAAGGCAATGATGAAACCAAATGTAGCTTTTTCTTACTTCTGTTTACGCTTGTTCGTATTCCTTTTGTTTTGAGTGAGAGAAATAAGAAAGAAAGACAGATAGTCTTTTCCATGGCTTTGATTGTATTTTGAGTTATGTTGGATGCTTAAAGTTTTGTGCTCTTTTGCTCCTACGGAGGTCTCTCTTTTACTCTGCGGCCAAATGTGGCCAATAAAGTGAGTGCAAGGGCAGGTGTGAGCAGGAACAGTCACCGTCCTGCAGCTCTTCTGCACAGACCCGACATAGAGGGTCCATCACAGGGAGGGCGCAGTGCCCACGGGCGCGCACAGAGCTCCCTTTCTTTAAGAAAAGGCAAAGGGGAATTCCTTATGGTGGATGCTGCAGCTATGAGAAGCCTTTTCATCCGGCTGTTTTTCAGAGTCTCCACTGGCTGCGTTAATTACAGGGCCTGGGGCTGCACTTTGAGCTCGCTGTGCTCATGCATGCTCTTGAGAAAAAGCCGCGCATCTGATTCTCACGACACGGACGAAAACCACACACAAATACGCACGCGCGCGCACATGCTCGCGCCCGCCTGAGCCCGCGGAACCAGTCAGCCAGCTGCTCGGGGACATTCTTGTCCAGTCTTCTGCAACTTCGGCTTCACAGACAGCAGCAGGACGACGACACTGAGGACGACGTGAGCTGGTTTTAAGACGTGGTTGTTTGTTTATTTTTTAAATCCCCACTTAGCCCAGCAGCTCAGGTCAGAGGATGTGGAGCGTCGCTGCTCCTGCCAGACCTCAGTGAAACTTTTGTCGGTGAGCGGAGCGCACACAGAGGGGAAGAGCTGGACCCGCAGCCCGTGTGTCGGTCACCGGAGAAGATGGGAGACTTCCACTAGACTGTCTCCGAGAAAACATCATGGCTGTAGACGGTAGGAAGGTTACACTTCAATATTATTAATAATAATAATCAGTAACTCTTTTCTAAATAGTCCGACTCGCATTCCGCCGAAAGCTAAAGCACGCTGATTCCATTACTTTAACTCAATACTTGCTAAACCAGTTTATCTGTTACGTAAGTGGCCTCAGCTGGAAAGAGCTCTCTGAAATAAAGTGCAGCTAAACGCTGCCACATTAAATCTATTAAAAACAGACTCTGTCATATACATGCATTCAGACATTATAAGAATATTATGCATAAGAAAGGAACAGAAGGGGGTCGCTGATGGTCAGTGACACGGTGCTGAAATGGACAGCGCATCCAGCATCGCCACCATCAGTGTGACTGTTGCTGTGGTCACTTTTCTGCCTTGGCTTGCTCTTAATTGAATTTACTCCCAGCTTCTGAAGTCCTGATGTGCATATTTCTGATAGGTAAAGATGTGTGCCAAGTCAGAATTTTAAATATCCCAAATAAGAGCTTTAATTCAAGGTATATTCATCCAAAATACAAGATTAAAGATATTGCAGGCAGGCCAGATACTTCATAATTTGTTTAGTAAGGGTTTTGATCATGAAAGTGTTTCCTTTCCAGTCCTGGCACTTTTTAAAGAGAAGGTTTTTTTTTTCTCCATTTGAAGGGAAAAGGCTCTGACAAATAGTCTTAATTATGCATACTACATCCATGAAAGGGGCACATTTGTGTTTACAGCGGCAGCCTGGGTGAGTAACACTCTGAAGGAGGGTTCGTACATGCCTCGAGTAAAACCTCAAAGAAACCAAAAATCGCACACCAAGTTTTATTCGTAATAACCTGATAGTGCTGGTTTGCCTTGATGATTGCAGGACGCAGAATGGCTCCGCTCTCGGTGGGAGATGGTGAATGACAGAAAAGAGAAGCACAAAGCAGGAGAAACGAAGGCACTCTTTCATCTCCTCAAAACCTCGTTTCCCCCTGACAGCCTCTCTCGTTCTGTCCTCTTTTCAAATTCTCTTAGTCAACTTAAGATATTGAAAATGCACATTAGCGCACACGCAAACACAAGCTGCACACGGAGCTTCAAACGTGGTAAGAAAATCCTTCCAATCTGGCACATGAATGTGTAATGACCCGTGGCTTTCTGCCAGAATCTGTGCCAGTAACAGCGTGTTTACTGTAGTTGCACACTCTTTAATTACTGGATGTTGGGAAGCCACCTGCTGTTGAGTCAGTTTGGATATCTGCCTGCAGGCCTCATCCTAATGATGAGAAAGTGGCATGTCTCACAACTCTACAAGCTTTTCACAAAGTAATTGTGGTACCTGAACGCTGACTTCCAGGATTCATCTACGATTTTATCAAGGCTCAGATAACTAACTCAAGCCTGGTTTGTGTCAATAGAGCAGATTTGCAGAAATTTGCTAAGGAGACCATTCCTGAATGGCAGGTTATCCATATGGTTTCAATCCTGCCTTTTGTTTCCAAGTCATGCAGAGCAAGGGAGTAGGGAAGTAGTCCCATGCTGTTTTTACACTGTCAGCAGGTCTGCCTGTCTAATCATTATACCCCCTCCCTTTATCTCTCCAGCTGCATCCAGTTTCAGTTTCTGCAGGCCAGCTGTGGAGTACAGGGCTCTGCCTGAGGACTTTAAGCACCAGCTGAGTCGACGGACAGGTGGGAACCTGACCTGGCATGACGGCCGTGGACAGAAAACAGCGGGAGGCAGAACAGTGAAGCTGCTACAGCAGCCGGGGACCGAGGCCCTGCAGGTACTGAGCACCTACATGACTTCAGCATGTCGAAAAGCACACCTGGTGCATGTTGTCATAATCCCCTTAGGTTTTCTTTATTCTTGAAGCTCAGGGTGATATGTTTCTTTCTGCCTAATTAAGCTTGATGATGTTTGCCACAAATCCAGAGTTAGGAAAACCATATATATTTACTTTGGAATTCTAATATGTTAAAGATTAATTTAATTGCTAAATATTTAACAAGAAATGTAAGAATGCAAACCTAATCAAAGAAAAGGAGAAAGGTCCTGTGCCGATAGTTTCTCAGGTCAGACACTGAAACCTTTACTCTTTCACTCATTTTAGAGGTTTTTCTGATACTGCAGAGAAAAATAATGACAAGTTTCCGACTAAAGTTTTTCACGTGAACTACTGTATATGCCTATCTGAAAACACAGCCGCCTAGATGTAGAGCTTCTTGTAGGCCATACACTATGTCTATGATGTTACAATCCTATTTGTCCCAGTGGCTTTGCTGATCTGTGTTGAAGGCATCAAAATAAATGTGTGTGGATATATACACTTCTCTCTGTATCTCATTCCAAATGCATTGATTTTTGTAACACAGTTCACTACATGGAGATAGCCACCTCAACGCACCGTGGATGACTTACAGGTGTTGTAATAACATGTAACATCCACAAGGACTCAGAGAAGACCAATATAAAAGCCTTACTTTATATGTTTATGTAACAGAGACAGTGCATGTTAATGAACATTAGCAGGAAAATATAAGATCGTTTATTTAAGTAATTATGCTGGATTAATTTAGAGCCGCATCCCCTGGGTAGCTTGCATTCAAAAGCACACAAAGACACACAAAGTCAAAAGAATAATCCAAGTCCTGCATCATCCAAAGTTAAAAACGACTATAGAACTGGTTTGCCACAATGTGCTGTTTGAAATGTGGCTTAAAAGTAGGAATTCTGCTTTATTACAATTAATAAGCAATGGAAATATTTAGTTCTTTTTACTGACATGAGCTACTTCACAGTCACCTATGTTTTTAAGCATATACATTTTTAAAAATCCACTAAGATCAAAATATTGTTGTTGTTATTTGATGCTACCAGGATGAAATGAAAATTACTTTTTTGAAAATCAAAGCTTTTAGTGGCTTTTTTGAAATATGTTTGCACTGAATAAAGTGTTGTTCCACCTGTTAGTGGCCAGGTAGCAAAATCTTTTAACATTGCATTTTATGATGTTAGATAACTTAGTAGAAGGACTTTTAAAGGTTAAATAGAGTTCATTTTGAGTCCAAGATGCTTAAACTTGTTTGCAACGTCATGTCCTCGCCTTGCAGTGAACACGCTGGAGTGTGTACTCTCTGCTGGTTGTTTTCTGCACATCATACACACTGTTTGATATTTACTAAAAGACATAATTCCTGGACCTGAGCCAGTGCCTGTGCCTGGGAGATTTTTCAAATTACTAATGCATCAATATGTTTAATAAATTGAGGGTAATCCACATCTACATAACTTGTCAGTATAATAACCATTTATAGCCATTCAGTTTCCATGGCTATTAAGCACTGTTGTATTTCACTAAAAATAACTACTGTGATTTATGTAAACTGCACCGATGGCGATATCAAGAAATTAGTGGTGTTATGTGTTTCTGGTTTTATTTTTTATTTTCCATTCCACTGACTTCTTGCATGCAGATATGAAAAAGTTGCACTGCTCATACGAGAAACTGCTGTGTTTGTTGCATTAGCAATATATGAGCACATGCAAAAACCCCTGCTGCCGTTTGGCAGCTCTCCTCTCAGATTTCTGCACGGAAAAGTCTGAAATATAAAAAAAAACTCATAGTCTGACAAATGCAGCCGGTCATCATCTATTGTTGTAAATGGACACTTTGTTAGTAGAGAATGAAAGTTGCCCTCTCCCCAGCGGGTTGGTGAGCTCTAACAGCCTTTTAGCTTTAAATAGCACAGGTCTTCCTATGCTCACACTATGCTGCACCACCACTGTGCTTGTTGACTGAGAGCAGAGAAAAGTTGAATTTATTTTGATCCTAACTGCCTGATAGTATCCAGCCTGTGCCTGTTGTTTCAGGATAATAAACAGTTAGCCATTTCTATAGATCTTCTCGCGTGAAAACATCCTCATATCTACTTCCACTAGTCATTCTGTTCCGGTATAAATTAATAGTTTTTTGTTATCTGATACAGCATTGTCTCTTCACACAGCCAGTTTGGGCAGCAGAGACAATCCATTTATACTGTAAGCTGGCCTCATTTAAAGCTCTTGGTTACAAGTCAGAGAGCCCATGCCTTTGTCTTCACCCCATGAAAGGCTCTTTAAAAGGCTGTTACAAGCTGAAGCTAAAGCTGCAAACATAGAACTGGGCTGGGCTGATAACATAGTTGTATGCAATGCATTATGTCTTTGCTTCAATCCTCTTGGATGCACATAAAGTAGTGGTCTGTTTATTTTTGTCTCGACGCACATGAACTTAATCGGTGTTGTGTGTCTGTGCTGCATTGTAATGTGTTTACAGTATTTTCACTTCCTCCATTGTTAAGTTTTTCCACTTACTTTTTTTTTGGCATGCTGTTCTCGTATTCACTCTGTCAGTATGCATCTCTGCCACCTCTCACAGGCATCCAAACACTCATTATGGTCTCTATAGTGTTTTTATACTTCACAGCTGTGGACTCAGAGCAGCAAAATACATATAGTAACCGCTGAAAGGAAAATTATTTGGAATGTTTTTGGTAATGACTTCATAATTTATGTGTGTGGGTTGTTGTTTTTTTTAGTGAGAATATAAACTATATATTAACTTCTGATTCTAAGCTGGTGTGCTTAATATGCCTTAATAAAAGGTCTTTAGAGTTAGTATTCCTCAACCTGTTTAGATTTATTAATAGAACCAGCGAGAAGAGGCTTTGGTGCATGTGTTTACTGAGATATACTTCTTAAGTTTTGCCCATGAGAAATAGGCCCATATTTGAGGTTTTAAAATATTAAACTACTACTGCAATAAAGGCTTCACTACACTAAAAATTAAACAATAAGAAACCAGAGCTTAAAACACAATTTAGAATATAAATAATATGAAAATATACATAGCTATACATATAAATACATAACTTTTGGTCCATATTGACGTGATAGCATCACACAGCTGCTGCAGATATGTCAGCTGTACATCAATGATGTGAATCTGCTGCTGCACCACATCCCAAATGTGCTCTATTGGATTGAGATCTGGTGACTGCGGAGGTCATCTGAGTAGAATGAACTCATGCTCATGAAAGCATTTGAGATTATTTGAGCTTTGTGACATGGTGCGTTATACCCATCGGAAGATGGGTATATTGTAAAGGGATGGGGATGGTCAGTAACAATATGTAGGTATCAAAACTCACCTATTTAAACCTGTCAGCTGCAGTTCTTAGCTGACAGGAGTGGTACCTGGTGTGGTCTTCTGCTGCTGTAGCATATGTGCTTTCAAGATGTTGTGCATTCAGAGATGCTCATCTGCAAACCTTGGTTTTAACGACTGGTTCTCTGAAGCAGTTTGGGCATTCTCCTCTGACCTGAAATATTCAGACCAGCCTGTCTGGCACCAACAGCCACGTCATGCTTTAAGTTTGAATTTCAGCAGGTTGTTGAGGTCAAGTTGCTGCCATGTGATTGGCTGATTAGATATCTGCATTAACGAGCAGTTGAAGATGCATACCTAACAGAGTGGTCAGTGAGTGTATTTAAATTAGTCCTCAAGTGACCCTTATCCAACTAAATCATTGCTAGGATTTTGCGATGGTTCTTGTTCTGCCTCTAAGGGATCTCTGGCCTCAAAAAGTTTTACAACTCCTACTTTACATGACTGTGGTCAGTTTTCACATATTCTGACATTTTACTGGGCAAACAGTCATTTTATTCACAAAACAATTAATAATGAAAAATCATAACCTGCAGCCAAATTAGAAATGGAGCTTTTTGGGATTTGGGGGGATTGTTTTGCATATTGAAGGACATCTGACTCATTTTATTTTTAATGAATTAAGGGAAATGTTCACTCCTAATCAAACAATGTTTAAAAAAATACCAATAAGTAGAAATCCTTTGTGCGATCACTCCAACCACATTTATTCATATACAAGCCAAACATGAGGGCTCAGGTTTTTACAAGGGTAGGGTGTGAAGTTAGGAAAAACTGTTTGCTGCATAAATGGAAGTGATGAAAGGAAATCCAGAGGGTGAGAAGGAAGTCTAAAGATAAAAGCTCACCATAAAAGTATTCATGGTGCATTAGAAGTCAGTCAGAGCCAGAAAAATACTTGATTCAAACTCTGAATGTGTCTTTCTTTGTTATTTAGATCCCCATTAACTGCATTGCCACAGCAACAGTATCTGCAGCATGTCAGTGAAAATGATGCACATCACGTCCGACATGCCCGTTCACAAAAAGACTCGGCTGTAAACCTCCCAGTGAGACAAAACTGTAATCAGAAAGCAGTAAACACTCTGAAGTGAAGCAGAATAGGTCACTTTCTTGATCAGCATGGCATGTTTTTGGAGAAATAAAAGTTTAATATCATTAGCTGCTTGATTTATTGTGTGAAAACTTCAAGACAAATTATTGTTCTTTGTGTTAAACAAAATTTACACAGGGGGGGGGGGGAAACAAACTGAGTGCACTCGGCTCCAAACCCCAAATCCTCTATTGAGTGTTCAGCTATGCCAAATACAAAAACAAACAGAATAACTGGCTTCTTATTTATTGTTGGTGAAGAGCATATTCCAGCTAAAAACCATAATTAGCATAATCTGAAAACTCTCAACAGGTGAGGCTCACACTGAGGACCACAATGACGTGACAGAAAGACTGTAAATGTCACCCTGTGTGCGAGTAAACCACACAGGACATCATGCACAGTTAAAACTCCTCTATGTCTTTAAAAATTGTGTAACATTATATATTAGATTACATTAAACAACCCAAAAGTGATTATTGATTAAAAACGTCTCGCAAAACATTAATGTTTTGTTTGTTTCAGCTCACAGCTCGAAGCCCAATGTCATTCATTCTCCTCAAAAATAAATAGAAGAATACTCACATTATGTAGCAGTTTTGTGAACAGGTCAAAGGCATTTGTATATTTCATCACAAATTAATTGCTGATCACAATAAAAGAGACTTAAAAATAAGCAGGGTGGCATGGTGGTGTGGTGGTTAGCACTACTGAAGGTCCTGAGTTCAAATCCTCCATCTGGCCGAGTGTAGTTTGCATGTTTTCTCTGTGTTTGCATGTGTACTCCGGCTTCCTGATAAGGAGGAGAATGGATGGATATTGTTGATATACTTTCAGTATCTGTATGCTTGCACTACACTCCGGTGTTAAAACCAAAAGCAAGCAAACTACTTCTTTTTTAGTTACTTCGATTTTTAGTGCAGATCACCATTGCGTTATGGAAAATCTCCAGAGTCTGTGATTCATGCAGGAGTGGAATACTGTCCCGTCTGTAACAACTGAAAATAAAAATACATAAATAAATAAATAATAATAAAGGTCAATCAAATGGACCAATACGGCAAGGCCGTGATGATCCACTTGGTAAAGTAAATCCGTTGGGCATCTTTCTTGGCCTTCAGACAGTAATTCTGATGGCTAAAAAGAAAAAAAAGGAGTTGAATACTTTCATTCTTCTTGCTATTATTCTTATTATTACTAATATTATATTTTAATGAAATGAATCATTACTGACATCCTATGGATCAAAAAATTGTTGGTGAAGTGATGAACATGCTTAAAAAATATATCAAACTCACCATTTTTGGTTCTATTTTGAGAATAAGAATGTTTTTAACACCACTGCATCCTGACATATCAGGCAGACCCTCCTGCAAAGCATTTGCTCCACTGACTCTTGCACATCAGCCAGATGTGATATTTTTTATCTTGCAAATGAACTGCTGAACTTGCTACATTTTTAAAAAGTGATTGGCTGATCAAAGGCGCAGCTTGATTACAACTCCAATTTTGCATCCTGTACATCTATAAGATAAAAGAGCTGAATCTCAACATGACACTGGCCTACATGCATGTCTTTTTGTTCTTTTTCTGCTGCTGTTGCTGCTGCTTGTTTGCCACTCTTCTAGGGAACTTCACAGCTACACAGATGTGCCTACACTGCCTATACATATGGCAACGATCGCCCCTGTGTTCTTTAATGAGGCTGAAACATGTTCTAGCCCTGTAGAGGCCCAAACTTGTCATCTTTTGATGTATATAAGGCATGTGAAATGAAATGTGATACTCAATATTCATCTTATAATCCTCCCAGCAGATGCTCACTTAATTGGCTGTGTGCACATGTTATGTACAGCGAATAAAAGACAGTGTGCAGATTTGTACACAGCGCATGATAGATGTGGGTTGTATGGATGCACAGCGGCAACAGCAGGCGAAAAGATTAAAAGAGCTTTAAAGTTCATTCAGGTTTTAAATGGAGTCTGAATTTTGTGCTGTTCCTCTGGATATATTTTCATGGGAGACATCTCCTAGCAGTCAAATGCCACCAATAACTGAATATCTTTGGCAGTTAATGAGAGATATGCCTGTGGTAGGTTATCTATCTCAGCACAAAGCACATCAGTACAGTATGTCCCCTGTGTGAACATATTAGTGTGAAGTTTAAGACTTTCTTTTTTAAAAGATAAATTAAGGGATACAAGTCTCTAGTGTGCACAAGGGAGGTAGAACTGGCCTTCAGCTAATTGAAGGATGATTCACTAACTCAATCCCTGGCTCCTCCTGTTGGCATGTCTTAGACCTAAATACTGAACCCAAAGAAGTGGAAGTAGTGTAGTAGTATATCTGTGTAGGTTCTCAGGCATCCAGGTCATTGTCAACTATGGAGCGTGGAAAGAAAAGCAACTGCACTTTGTTATGTTTCTTGAAGACATTTCACCTTTTCAGTTGAACTGAGGAAGCTTCTCGGATAAGAGGGACTTGAAGAAGTTCAGTTGCTTATATTTCCAAGCTCTTTAGATTAGTGTAGTAATAGTGCAAAGGACTTTGAGTCGTTGAACAGATCTCACCTCTGAAAAATGCTGTCTGTTTACTTATCTTAGTATCTCTCTATTTGAAAAATCTCCTTAAGCCTCTTTTTCACTAGCACATGCTCAGCTTGATTCAAGTCCATTTTGGGGGTTTTGCATTTGGTGGCAGTACCTCGTACCAGGTTAAACTCCTTCACAAGAATCAACCTGGCATTTTTAAACACGGCAACAAGGGAGATGGCTGCAAACCGAGGAGCCTGATTCACCCACGCAAACACTTTTTTTCTGTGCTTGAGTGCTTTCTGTCTATCAATCACTGTCTATCAATCACTCAGAGAAAAACTTGGGGTTAGTATCTTTCCTAGGGATATTTGGCATGCAGAGTGGAGCAGCCAGGGATCAAACCACCATCCTGCCAATTAACAGATGACCTGCTCTACCGCCTGAGCTACAGCTACGTCTTCTGTGGTTGGTGCCTGTAGATTTCAAGATTTAAAGTTCAAAATAATCCTTTTTTATCTAAGACTGAGCATTGCTGTAGCCTCTGTGTTCTTCTTCTGTTAAGCTACTTCAGCTACCTTCCCCTGTTCTGATTGGCTGCCCCTCAGAAACACATGATTTTAAAAGGTGGTGGATGGTTTTCTGTGCTCAAAGCCAGTGTGTGTCCTGGTAATAACAATATTAGGTATATGCACTCTGTTTGACATCATTTGGATCCAAGAGTAGAAAAACTTTCTGAAGTTGTGTATTTAGTGCCATTTTAAACCTGAGATTTTGGTTTCACTCACCATGGCTCAGGGGGTTGTGAACCGGAAGGTTGCTGGTTCGATCCCCAGCTCTGTCTGTCTTGGTTGTTGTGTCCTTGGGCAAGACACTTCACCTGCCACCTACTGGTGTTGGCCAGAGGGGCTCATGGCGCGATATAGCACCCTCGCTTCTGTCAGTCTGCCCCAGGGCAGCTGTGGCTACAACCGTAGCTTGCCTCCACCAGTGTGTGAATGTGAGAGTGAATGAATAGTGGCATTGTAAAGCGCTTTAGGTTCCTTGAAAAGCGCTATATAAATGCAATCCATTATTATTATTAATTTGCACATACTCTGACCTCAATATGTGCAGCTTTACCCAAGTTTGATGTGAATGTCCTCTACTCCAATGGTACACATATGACAGACATAAGGGGGAAAAAAGCATTAAATGTCCCCTTATATCACTAACCCTCTCCATTTATCTGTATGTTTTCCTGTCTGCCTTCTTATCTACAGTACCGCTCCAGTGACAATTATGGGATATATCACACGAGCCCAACACAGCCCAGCCTGATCCGTCCTGTTGTTCTTTGGTCTCAACAAGATGTGTGCAAGTGGCTGAAGAAACACTGTCCACACAACTACCTGACCTATGTGGAAGCCTTCTCCCACCACGCCATCACAGGTCTGAGATAGTAGAAAAACAGTCCCACTAGTGAATTCATGAATTACAGTTTAATTGTAAAAAATGACTTTGTCATCACCTTAAAGGCCGAGCGTTACTGCGCCTGAATGGGGAGAAGCTGGAGCGCATGGGTTTAGTGCAGGAGACACTTCGACAGGAGCTGCTGCAACAAGTGCTGCAGCTCCAGGTGCAGGAGGAGGGACGCAACCTGCAGCTGCTCAGCAGAGGTGAGAGTGTGTGTGTTTTCAGTCTTCCCAGTCCTTGACTTTGAAGACACAGTTTGACATTTTTCACATTAAAATTTCTGACTCCTATTCCTGTCAATTAAAAATTAATCTTTAGCTAGCAGTGGTTTAGCTTAGCACTAAAATTACATGTTTTATGATGAAGATAGCTGGAAAAAAAATATTGACGATGGCTCCATAGTTTGTGCTGCCGTCCCACAGCAGGAGGGTCCAGGTTCAAACCCAGGCAGGCAGGCAGGCAAGTTAAAACTTGCATGCTCTCTATGCTTGTGTGAGATTTCTCCACTCTGTTTTCTCCTGTCCTTGTAAAACCTGCTGCTGTAATTATGCGTATCTGTGCCAAGGATACATTTCACTTCTTGGTTGAATAACGTTGGAAAAATGTTGGTGGGTGTAGTTCCAAAACAAAGGGGCTTTTCACATGGGAGGCATTCTGCTGTGTGTCCACCGCCACCAGCCCTGCATCTGTCTGGAGTCAGGGAAGTGTTATGGCTCTCTGTGATGTAAATATGAGAACAGCAATGTAAACAAACAACACTTACAGAATAAGCGGGTCTGTTTTCTATGTTTTCCATCCACTTTATTCAGATGAGACTACTGTGGTTTTAATATACAAAGCAACACTGTGACGGGGGCCCCACCCTGTGGGGTGCTCGGGGTAGAGCACCTGGTGGCCCATGGTGACTGGCCACATGGAGCCTGAAAGCAGTGCATGGGTCAGCCCTTCTGTAGGCCCAGCACTCACACGGGTTCAGTAAAAGATGTGGTTTTCTTTGTTTCTTAAACCAATTTTTTGTTCACATGTCTGTGAACTACACTAAAAGCACTGCGACTTCTCATTGAAAATAATTGAATGCTAGCAGTTGTTATAAGCCAACAGTGGAGTTTGACGTAACTTGGCTTTAAGATTAATGGAAAAGATTCGATGTCTTTAAATCATGCAGTGACATTTTTAGTCAAAATTCTGTTCAAACTAGAGCTAAGAGAGATAGCGGAGAGGATTTTCTTCCATGCTTGTATTAGGCAGCAAAGTAAGACAGTAAGGCTGAAGTCCCAAAGCTAAACAACAGACATTAGTTTCCTCTGCCTGCACAAAGTCGCTGCTTACAGCTCATAAAACTCTCCTAATTAGAAACATGAGAGCCCAGTAGAAGTGGTTGCATCTTAGCTGTACATGATTGGCAGAACAAATGAAAATCAATCAGTTAAACAACTTATCAGAAACTCTTGGCTGGCTGTGCCTTTTCAGTCTTTGGCCTTTTAAAAAAAGGAAGTAAAAGCTAAAGTATAGAAAGTCCCAGTTATTTGTTTTTGTGAGGGTTTAGGTGGAATGGATGGATGCCTGAAGAAAGAGTTTGACTCACAGCACCCTTTTAATTAACAGCAGATTGTTGGTGTTACATTTAAACAGTGTTATGTGTTAGAAGTGCTGGTAGGTGCTTCTTTTGCTAGCTGCTTTCAGGTGATTCCTGTCTTTATGTTAAGCTACTTTATGCCAACGGCTGGTTGTCGTCTAATGTAGATATAGACGCGTTAGGGATGTTATGATAGTAGAAATGTAGTAGTCAGTACTAATATCAGTGTTAGTTATATGATTGTTGATACCCAATTAAATAACATAGTTACAAAAAAGCGAGCAAACAAACAAACTGAATGTTCCTTGTATTTAAAATTATGGTGCCTCTGTCACTTCCAGACCTGCAGCCTCGGTACAGATGCTGTCTATGGTAGATGTAATAAAAGGACAAAACAAACTTGACGTGGATGGGTGTGTGTTTGTTTGTGTATCTGTTTTTTTGTTTTTCTTCTCTTTCAGCGACAGTGTGTCCTTTTGCTAGAGTAGATAACATGTTGTGATCTTATCTTTTCTCCTGTTTGTCCCCTTTTCTATTTTCTTTTGTATTCTCTTTACTTCCAGCTGTCGGCTCAGGCATTATTACACCATACATGTAAACAAATAATTAAATAAAAAGAAATTGGCTAGCAAAAGGAGCCTATACAGAGTTGATAGTTTATAGATCCTCTTGGCAAATCAAATATGTTTGGCACATCAGTGCATTCAGACCATGATTCTGCTTGCTGAAGCTTGTAGAAAAGAAAGGTTTAAAAACAAACATTAAACAATTATTGTCATATTTTGAGAATTTTGATATGAATTGGTATCTTCTGATGATATCCCTTAGACACATGCTATATCAGGCCTTGTGGCATGTGTCTCTTTAGACTGAACATAAATGTTTGTGCTGATTTTTTATGCTCTAGTGAAAGAAAAGCAATAGTCATAATAAGCAGTCTGTTTTTAAAACTGACTTAATTTTCATGGACTATCCTGACACAAAATGGTATTTGCCACAGTTTGTGTTACTGTGTTAAGTTGTCCTAAATTATCTGATTGTTAAGTCTTTTTCATGGTACTAACAGCTCAGTAACAGCTAACTGACATATATTCCTGATTTGTATCTACAGAAACCGTCAGACCTCCACAGTGTTGTTCAGATGGACTTGTTTTGTCTGCAGATTCCCAAAAGATAAAGTTAAAAGGCATTCATGAACCACAGCACTGAAGATAACAGACTCAAGACATGACAAGTATGGGAGTATTCCTGTTGGTCGAAAAAGCATCTGCAGAGAGCTGTAATATTGAGTTATTATTGTGTTTTATAATTATGTTGTGGAAATATTACAGTTATCAACAGAATATAAGCCTTTTGTACAGTTCTGACATTTATAGCTAACCAGAACAGTTTAATCACTTGTAAATTCAGAGGGTTTGGGATATGTACGGATTAGATGGTCCAGCTCCCACTGAACAATATGGTGGCAGCAGTGATGTATTGTTCCAATAACCAGCAGGGACCAACACAAAATCTTTGTCTATACTTATCTGTGAGATCGAGCGGTGAAAGCTTATTATTGCACCTGTAGAAAAAAAAAGTTTAAAAAACTTGCTATTAAAAGTTAAAAAAATTATCTGAAAAGTGTTCATCGTTCTGTGTTTTGCAGGGTCCTTTGGAAGGATATCCTAGCTGGATGATGGAAACACCGGAGTCAGAGTACATATAATCACGTAACATGAAATGTGAATCAGATCTGTAGGATATGTGCATCCAGCGAGCTGTGGTCTCCAGAATAAAGCTGTTAACTGGAAGTTGGCAGCTTTTCATTCCCTGTCTGCACGATAAACTGATATCATCTTTACAGACTGACAATGAACTGTGATGAAAAAGCATCATGACAATCCATTTATCAATTTATTGCCGCCTGTGATTAATTATTAATTTACTGTTCCTCTCTTACCGTCTCTTCCTCTCATTCTTCTCTTTGAAACGTTTTTTAATGTCAGAAAAACAAATTAATAAATACAAATATTAAAATTTAGTCGTTTTTTTGCAAGTGAGTCGTTAGGCTCTGTTGAGCTAAGTGGTGTGTAGTTCCTTTGCCTGGGTAAGATACTACATTACCCACAATCCCTCCGCACAGCTACGAAGAAACTATCCATGGCTCTAACCAGCCGCTACCGGCTCCGAGGTCTCAGGATCCCAGCGGAGGCGAAGTGCGGTAAAAATAATGACGTCCCGCTCGGACAGGTACACGATGCTATCAGTATTTTTACCTGTGTTTGAATTTTTTTGAATCCTGAAATAATTAATGCAGTTTTTTTTATTTTATTCACATTTTTATAGTCCGCAGCAGCTTCGTCCTGTATAACGCTAACCACACTGACGCCCCTTCTCCTCTCCTCCTCCTTCCTTCACCCCCTATAAACAGATGTTTACACACCATTCCGTTAAACCCTGTCTCTGTTAGTTAGTTATTAACTGATCAGTATCATCACGATGGGGGATGAAGGTGCATCAAATGCGCTTCAGAAATAGGTGAGCTGCATGCTGACACAGTCGTGCGTCACAGTCTCTGAAGTCACGAGTTCAATCTGTGATCATAAATAAACCTCTGCATTTCAAGCTTTATTACAAACATTAGCAAGGAAGTAATACCTTAATCATTTTTTCTGTTGGAGAAGTTTGAGGTGGCGCTCGTTAAACTTATTTTAGCCTGTTATGAATGTAATCAGAGTACTACACGCCAGACAGTTGTTGCAGATTTGTCAGCTGCACATCCATGATGCAAATCTCCTGTCCCAGCACATCTCAGAGGTGCCCTATTAGATTGAGATCTGGTGACTGTGAGTACAGTGAACTCATGGTCATGTTCATGAAACAAGTTTGAGGTGATTTGAGCTTTGTGACGGGACACGTGACATGATAATGGACAGAATAAAAATTAAAACGCAAAAAAAACAAGAATAACGATCAAATAACAACAGCCAACAAAGACTCAGTGTCACAAGATTCATCGTAAAGACGAATATTAAAGAACTCGAAACTCAACCTAGTGGTCAGACACCATAAGCATTAGAATGGTGAAGCGATATTGAAGATAACGAATGATAACGAATGATTTTTACAGTTTTCTGTCTGTCTTCTGTCTTTGTCCTTTGGGTTGCTGGTCAGCCGAACTCCCTCTGTAAGGGCTGAGACTGACAGTTTTCACTGTTTTCTCACATGGCGTGTATCATAAGAAATCATTTTGCCCCATTTGGTTTTCTAGTGTTTCTGTTGATCAGGTCAGTGAACTGAAAGGATGGATCAACAGAAGACATCCATCATGGCTTCTTTTTATTTAGAGGTGGCTCTATTAATACCAGCCAAGCAGCTCTTTGCTGTCAGTGTTACAGTGATCCTCTTAGACGCTGTCACTCACTCTCTCGCAGAGAGAGAGAAAGCAGGACACGGAGAGAAGAGCAGATTTTTTAGATGATTAAGGCTTCACAGACGTGTGAATGCACAAAGTGAAAACAAACTAGAAATAGACCTGTAATTAACACGTTCACGGCCTCGGTCAGTGCTGAGGGCCGCTTGCTGTTGTTTTTGGGGAGGTTGCCACAGTGACGGGTGAGCTGGAGGGTAACAGGTTGTCGTCCGAAGCAGATATGACTCTGCTGGACTGCACAGGAGCCAGAATCTCCGGCTGCTGGTCGTTGAGGTCTGACCGCAGGTAAGATGTGGCTGACTGCAGTGTTGCTGCTGTTGTTTTCTCTCAACACAGACACCCTGCTGGTTTTCCCCCAACAAAGCTCGCATACACACTGTGGATACGTGTGTGAGTGCTATAAATAGTCTGCAACCAGGGGTTGTTGACAGGTCAGAGGGAGTGCCGTATCCGGATTAGTTTGCAGTGATTTGGTGTGAGAGCTGGGTTTATTTGGGTTGCTTGAAATGTGTCATTACTGCACATTTATAATGACCTCGAATATGCAAAACAGTCATTAGTCTTCACTTCCATTCAAGATTTGTCCCATTTAGTATGCATGCGCTGTAGTAGTGCATCACATCCAAAACAAGCAGGGTACCGATTTAGTTTCTAATTATTGCCAGTGGGAGTGTATAAGTCCAGAAAGAGTCCCCAGAGAGCATGACGCAAAAGCTAAGCTGACTTTTCCATGTTCCATAGTTAACGGTGATGTGAGCCTAATCTAAATCACTGTGATCTAAGCTGCCGTGTACCTAATAAATTACCTTGCAGTCTTACTACTACACTATAGGTAAAGCAGTATTCATATTCTTTATGCCAGTACTGCACCATAACCGTAAAAGAAATGACAGTGTAACTTAAAGCTTTTGTTTTGTGGCTACAGTATCAGAACTTAAAATAGTGAAGAGAAAGAATCACAGCATGTATTTATAGCATTGTTACGATAACAATAGTACAGCTCCACTCCTACTGAGCTCTCACAATGCCTTTATACTACAAGCTGCAGTCACCCTCACGCACACTTTTTATCTATGTGCACAAATGCCTATGGATCAACTTGGCATTCACTATCTTGAGCGTACAGTGACGTTAGCTTTTCAAACTCTCAGCTTGCTGAGGTGGAGCCGGAACAGTATTCACTGTGGATTAATCGGCTGTATACTTTCTTGAAGCATGTTTATTTCTGTATTTGTAAAATGCACAACAGTAGTAGCAAATTTCCATCCTATGTAGGGACAGGGATAGCTCAGTAGGTAGAGTGTTGACCCCATGATTGGAAGGTTGGGGTTCGAATCTGGCTACCCTGAGGTACCCCTGAGCAAGGTACCGTCCCTACACACTACTCACCGGGCGCCCAATGGCTGCCCACTGCTTCACTGAGAGAATGGGTTAGATGCAGAGAAGAATTTCCCCACGGGGATCAATAAAGTATACATTACTATAAACCACTATCTCTTTTTAATAAAGTGTTCTCATACCACCATGCTAGAAAAGCTCCAGTAATTCATATGTGTAATTCCTGAAGACTCAGAACTTCACTGGAGGGATGAAACTCCATTCTTCTTAATTATGGTGGCACAAACTGTCAGTGTAAAGTCTCCCAGAAACGCTCACTTATGTTTAAATGTGGTTCCTGTAAATCTCAGAGCATATGATTTATATCATCTTAGTACTGAAAGAGCTCCTTCTCATCAGGATAGAGATTTTCCTCAAAGAATAAAGGTGAGCAGTCACAACAGTGAAATTTTAGTCAAAGCAAACCTAAAAAACCTACCAGCAAAACACCCCAGAGCCACAAGACCCTCTCACTTTAATATGTCTTGTTATATCAGAGGAATAGTCTAAACTTCACATTTACTGTAACCGTATACAAAGAAAAGCTGTGATTTCTTGCAATGTGAGAATCCATTCTCCTCCAGTCCTTGGGCAAGACACTAACCCCAAGTTCCTCTCTGATCAGTCTGAGTATGAATGTGTGAGAACGTTAGATAGAAAGCATAGAAAAGAATGGGTGAATGAGGCATGTTGTATGAAGTGCTTAGAGTGCTCAGATAGACAGAAGGTTCTGGGTTACATTTTTAAATGTTCTTGATTTGTATTGTAATGAAAGTTGTATTTTTTTTTAAGTTGTGCCAAAATGTCATGCAGTCAAAAGTGCAGCAGATGTCCTTAAACTGCTATTACAGAAAAACTGGATGTGGATATGAGATTTTACATCCTCAGTGATCAACAGCAGAGCTCATAAACAGTAATGTGTTTGCGTAAAGGGACAAAACTCTTTTCTGCTTGCACAGCAGGTGTTGGCATTCTAGAAAGTGTATCTTGCTGTTGTTGTTTTTGACCATGAGCTCCACATTTTTTAGTAAAATATTTAAACAGGATGTTTAAGGATGGTTGGCTATGGTACAGATTTAATGCTTTCTAAATTCAGAATTATTGGAAGAAAAGAACTAATTAACTTTAATATGTATAAATGTATAATTTAATTTGTATGTGTTTGTATTCCTATGAATGTGTAGGTATGAATGTACATGTATGTGTATATGGGCCAGCTGCATTTCTATTCAAGCATAAATTTGAGTTGCTTCTGTACAATTAGTTAATATATCCTCCTGAGAACTGAGGAACTTTAACTTTTTTTGTGATTTCCTTCCTCTTTGGAGCTAAGAGAGGCCACCCAAAAACATGAGATATCAATGGAAAGCCCAAGATGTCCTCTATTTACTACATTAAGACTTAGTAAGCTAGCTTAAATAAGTCAAAAGATACAGACCAAATCAATTCAATCCATCTATCTCTATTGAAGACGCCGTAAGTTTTAGCTAACCTTTAACTCATAAGACCATAAGCACAAAAAAATACGTGTTAGTGATGTTAGTGTTAGCACTGTGTGTGACTGTAAATTAGCTGCATCATGCAGAAAAGCCCAGTAAGTATTTTCAAAATAAATATACATTTGCATTAGAAATCAGAGAATACAGATGACATCATTTGCTATAATAACTCTATAGGCCTAGCTGTGACAGTTTCCCTCCTGTTCCTTCCATGGATCGTTTGTTCAGGCTGTGACCTGCCCTGCTGTTTGCTGTTTTTGCAGTGGGAGCGGGGAGGACTCGTTGGACCGCCTCCTGCCCTCGGCCGGGGCCCCTCGCAGGAAGAGCGCTACCTCGCTGAGTAAAACAGAGCCTCCTCTGCTCCGCACAGGCACACGCACCATCTACACCGCTGGCCGCCCGCCCTGGTATGACGAGCACGGCGCTCAGTCAAAAGAGGCCTTTGTCATTGGTACGACACTCACTGATGATGTTGTTTGTCCTCCAGACTGCCAAGTCGTGGCTTTGAGCTGCAGAAGCTGTCCTTAATGTCCTATTCTCTCATATTATACCCATAAACATTTTAGTGCTATCACACATGCATACCAGCAGACAGCATTAGACACACTCTGAAAAACACAAATAATGGGCCTTTGAAATGCTGTGTGGATCTGCAGGGCTGTGTGGGGGCAGCGCCTCAGGGAAGACCACCGTAGCCAATAAGATCATTGAGGCCCTGGATGTGCCGTGGGTTGTGCTACTGTCGATGGATTCTTTCTACAAGGTGATGCCTGTTTGTGTTTTTTGTCTTTATCGATTTGGTAATTATTACAGATTATCTGTTGGCTTGTTAAAGGAAGAAATGATCTATGTGCAGAGAAAATCTTTCGGTAATCTTAGGAGCTTTTCCATCACAGACTCGAAGTAATCACTGTACTGCTGTCACTTGATTTAATAAGAGGTTGTGGTTTTGCCTTAAAATTACAGCCTTCGAATGACAGACTATTCATGTGCCGCAGCAGTGAAAATGAACCTACAGAGACCTGCAGGGGAAAAGGAACAGAGAACAATGGAGTAACATATTTCTGTTTAGGCGGAACCTGGAACAAAATGCACTGTAAGAACATCAATTAAACTTCATTTAAATCACCCAGTGTATACTAAACAAGAAAGAGTTTGAGGTTTCCACCAAGACTAAAAATTCCCTCCACAGCCTTTGTGAATTGAGTTTCTGGATCCAAAAGTATATCTCACACTTTTTATTTTAATATATGTAAAGAAGTCTCATTAACAAAACCCTGAATCCATATTTCTAGGTGAAACTAAGCTACACCACTAGTAAAATTTTCATGTAAATTTGTTTTAGAACTTTTTGTGTAATCCTGACAACAAACAGAGCCAATTGCATAACTTTCTTGGTAGAGGTAATCAATTTGAGTCCCAGCAGGAAACCAACATATTAGGCTGTTTGTTAAATCTTCAGAAAAGCTGTCAGATTAATTGAAAATTTCCATCCATGCTCTAAACTGGCATGTAACTGATACAGTGCAGAAACATTGCATATTTTGTTTAGACAGTAGATTGTCCTCCATCTTGTTCAAACACAGAAAGTTCCCATTTGATGCTCAAGCCAAAACAAGTCATTATACGATCCACCATACTGTCTACACAGGATTATGGACCTATCCTGTAGGTTCATGCTGTCGCTTATGCTATAAACCACTGGATGCGCTCTACCACAGCGTCACGTGCTATTCATTACTGCAGACAGCTACGGCTCTCACCAGCTGTGAGTTACACAGTCAACAGTCCAGAAAGCACCCACTGATCTGTGATCTGTGTTTGTTTTCATAGACTCAACTTCTTTAGTTGAGATCAGTTGGGAAAACATAATCATTACAGATAGAGAGTCATAACAAGTTCCTCAGACCAACTTTTTTCTTGTAAGCCGCACACTCATAAGCAGAGATGTTCAGTCCTCTATAAGACTTTAAATCTTGCTCATGTTTCCAGTTATTTTTGTGCATTGTGGGTGTTTTTTTGAGTGAAAGAGTGTAACTATTTGCTCTGCTGCAAAGGAACTCTTGATCTCAATTAAATTTGTCACATAAATAAATCTTAAGTTAGTAAATTACAAAGAGAAATGTTAATATTTATGTTTTCTTTCTCAGTGTTCAGAACCACATAATAAAAAAAATATTCATCACCATCACAGAGACACGAACCAATCATTTTGAATAAATCACATAAACTGTTATCAGGTTTAACATTTTAAAATGTGGTTTAGCCAAGAAGATAATTTCATCTTTTGTTGATAGAGTCCAACATTTTAGAAACTGCAAATGTTTGTTGTCTTGTAGAGTTTAAAAGATCAGTAAAAGAAAAATTGTAGTTAGTTAGTTAGTTTATTTCTTAAATAAAATACATAGAAAATGTTAATTACCACTAACTTTCCAAATGGTAATTGAGCTAATCCACCACCCCTGCCATCCAGCATTAAATCAGTGCCATTGATTATTAAATTTGGATTTTTGAGCCCAGTAAATAATATTCCCGTCTTTATGCCACGGTCGGCAAGGTCTGTCATCTCAGTTGTGGGCAAATAAAGGCTATCTCATCTCATCAACATCATCAAATCTTCCCACTGTACAAAGTGACATCAGAGTGACGTCTTTTATGTGTCAATTTTGGATGTCAAATTTTGGGCCACTGAGGGAGTTGTTTTGTAATGACAGGCAACGTCTTTTTTTTCTACATGTACTGAACATGTAGTGTTGATGTCCATAGGACCTTCGTGTACAGTCTATTTGTAGTCCCGATGTGGTCATTGTGGACCACTTTTCAACGTCAAACTTAGACACATTTTACACGCCGTTTTTTTTCGTTGCATCTTAAGGCTTTTTAGTCCCGTGTGTCCAGAGGGTGGAGGACATGTTTTCTATAGCCTCCTGACTACCAGGAAAAAAAATGTTGTCCAATCAAAAAAAATTTTAAATCCCCAAATGTTTGTAAGGTAATTAGAAGACTGAAATAATTTTTTGGGGAAGAAAAAGTTTACATTTTTTAGATATCACATGTCCACTGCAGAGGACATTGGAAGGCCAAACATGTAAAAATGAACTTTGATGGCAAATATTTGCTTCAACTCTTCACCAAGGAGAAGTTTGAACTCAAGGAACTGTAGTGGTTTCTTCCCCCAAAACTGCAAGTCATTGCTATACTGAAGCCATGAGTTGGTGATTGCCAGATCAAAAAGTAGAGAACTGCACATACTGTCAATTTCTGAGTGCGAGAGACCATCCTGTAGAAACTCAACATTCGGCAACAAGGTCCACGTCACCTATGTTGGTAGTGTACTCAGCAATTGCCAGTGGACTTGGCACATGGACAAACCTTTTGTTTTTCTTAGACCATCTTGTGGACATTTTTTAAACACTTCAATACTATACTAAAATGAAGTTAGAATTAAGCATACTATGTTTTAACGTGTTATTAAGAGACTTATTTAAAATATGTTAACAACATTTATAGCTAAAAATTGCTCAATAAGAAGTTTTATGCACTTACTTTTCTTCTTCCCATAAAATGTGCTTGCAGCGATGGCCGACATGTTCCTTAATGAAAAAACTAAAGTTCCCAAAGCTCCACCCCTTCACATTTGGTATCATTGGAAAGCCCTAAATGTCCTCTGTAGATACCAAAAGGAGGCAATTCTGTAGTATGCAGTGCATGGGAGATATTCAGGTTTAGAAAGGTGCTCTACAGAGGACACATTTGCATTGCTGGTAGTCAGGAGGATAGGCTACCAGTTGATTTTTGTTTACACCTTTATTATTACCTTTACATTTATTAATCATATAAATTTCCTGCACCTATCATAGACGTCCAGATGAAGTCCAAAGTTCAAATGTTGACGTCCAAGCTGGGTCATGGTTGGACGTCCAAATTGTAGACCTAGTTTGGTTGTGTGTAGTTGTCCAGAACTAGTTGTTGACCAACGGACCCAATATAGATCTGAACGTCTATCCGACGTCCAATGTTTAGCGGGATCAGTAAATTAAGACAAAATCAGGTATGCTGAAGTCTTACTTCTCTCTTCTGCATTCACAGACAAAGGTATCAGCTAATTAATAATATAATCTAAAAGTAATAACACAACTTCACAGAAGAAAATCTGCTGTTACAATTAACAACACAGCAATCTGTAGTTTTTGTCAGATAATTGCATTAATAAGAAGGCACCAATGCAAATGAGACGTCCATCTCAGTGACTGGCTGAGCTGAAATGAAGTCTCAGTCAGATGGTCCACGTTCCTAACTTTAGGCGTTAGCAAAGGATAAACGGGTCAGTTTTTGAAAAATTCACCTTCACTACACTTGTCACAAATGGGTACATTAACTTAAAACATCAAAGCTGTGTTTTGTGCCAGAGTTAAAACATTATTTGAATTCTGTTAAGTTCCGTATTTTAACTTTGGAGTCTATGAGGACTGACTTGTTTGCAGAGCCTAAAGAAGTCATTGGCCATTAGAAGAAGTGCAGTTGTTAGCATTATAATAAAACTGCATTTTCAGCCCAGGAGTTTAATGGTTCATATTTGTGGTAATAAGCTGATCTAAATGATAAAATAAACCCTCATTTAAAATCTTTAAATAGTTAATCAAGTTAATGAGGAAGATCCTCTGAAATTCATCTTTATTTTGTGTCTTTCAGGTTTTATCCCCCGAGGAGCAGGCTCTGGCCACAAAGAACGACTACAACTTTGACCACCCGGGAGCATTTGACTTTGAGCTGCTGGTTTCCACCCTGAGAAAACTGAAGCAGGGCAAGAGTGTGAAGATCCCGGTGTATGATTTCACCACACACATGAGACATAAAGACTGGGTGAGTTTGGTTTTTATTGCTTTAAAGGAACCTCAGTGTTGATTATGCCAAAGATGAGATGGAGCAGAAAGAACCCCAGTGTTGAGGCAGCATTCAAAGCTGAAAATGTATTAAACTTAAATGAAATTTAAATTTTTAAAAACTATGTGTCAAAGTGACACACTGCACCTTTAATCTTATAAAAGCTCAAACGACTGCTTTCTTCTTTAAAGACTCGACTTTCCCTCCTCTTCTTGCAGAAAAATGTGTACGGTGCCAGTGTGATCATTTTTGAAGGAATTATGTCCTTTGCAGACAAAGAGCTTCTTCAGGTAAGACAGTGCATTCTTTTATTTCCTTTCTTTTGAAGAATTCTTGAGTGAAGCAGACTAATCATCACCAGGAATTGTTTGTGCAGCTGCTTGGCTGAAATGAGCATTATTGAACTGTTGGCTCTTCGCACCTGCAGCTCCTGGATATGAAAATCTTTGTGGACGCAGACTCAGACATTCGGCTCGTCCGCCGGCTCCGCAGAGACATCACAGTGCGTGGACGGGACATTGAAGGCGTAATCAAGCAATACAACAAGTTTGTGAAACCAGCCTTTGAGCAGTACATCGAACCAACCATGAGGCTGGCAGATATTGTTGTACCAAGAGGTGAGTCAGACAGGCCTCGTCTTTCCTAAAGACCACCTAAACTAAAACGTTTGGACATATTTGTTAACACTGGCTGTTCTCGGCTTTTTGTTCCCTCCAAGGTGGTGGGAATATGGTGGCCATTGATCTGATTGTCCAGCATGTTCACAGCCAGCTGGAGGAGGTGAGTCACCAAATCGCTCCGTATACTTGAGAGCATGGTGCCACCATGTGTCTGAAGGCTGAAACATGCAGACTTCCAATTCTTTGTGGGATAAGTGGCATCAGAAGAAAATACATCGAGCAAGCTTTCACATTTTTAACCCTTTAACTTTGAAAAATATTGCCAGCAAACTGAATTAAAAACACAAAACCTGAGATTTGTTGATTTTACAAGTGTTATGTGTGTAGCCATGTGACCTCTACTGTTGTTCAAAAGCCAGTGAAAAGTCCTGCAGTTGTAGTGGATGACATGTTCCTTTATTGTGATGAACATGCTGAATCAGTCGAATGTGGCTCATCCTGAAACCAGTAAAAGCAGTATATGTGTTTGAGTCACATATGATAAAATCCTCAGTGCCCTGCTGTTTTAATAAATTATCTATTCAATTAAAAAAATGATTAGGAAGAAATGTACTCAGTAACTAAAACGAAAAACAAAGACTAGATGTGAATGTCGATTTTAGTTATCAAAATGCAAAGACAGAAGGAAACCAACTAAAATCATACAGGACTCTGCCAAAGTCTTGAGCCGTCCCTCATTTTTTTGGTGTTTGAATGCGAAAGAGCTGCAGTGATTTATTGAAACATGCAAACATACAGTATATAAGGCAGAAATAGAGTTTGTACAGTTCTAATGCATGCACGTGCAAAATATTTGGTGTGACCACCTTTATTCTTGAGCACAGCCTGAACTCCTGAAGCTTTTTCTTTGGGAATAGTTTTCCAAGCTTCTTGAGGGACGTTCAAAACTCTTCATTGGATTTTGGCAGCCTTTTGTTTTGTTCTGTGTCAAGATGATTCCACACTGCTTCGGTAATGTTGAGGTCCCGGCTGTGGGGAGGCCGATCCAGGACTGAAAGTGTTTCATTTTGGTTTTTCTATCCAAGTGTGCTTTTGCTACATTAGCAGTGTCAGGGCAGGATATTAAAAGGGTTTTTTTTTTTAAATAGGAAAAACAGCATCACCATCCTTATCTTCTGAAACATTATTTTTTCCTCTACTATTATTTTCATTTATCGTCTCTCTCTGTCCTCCCTTTATGCAGCGTGAACTCAGTGTCAGGTATGCTGATACATATTTTCACTTCTGTGACTTTGGTCGGCTTATTTTAATTGGAAATTTTATATTCAAACTGTGTCCTCTATGGCTTCCACACTGTGCCCCATCTGCCCTCTCTGAAAACTCCCTGCCGCCTCAGAATCTCTTTTCTCTGATAGTGTGTCGGACTAACAAAGTTAAACCTTTTGATCTGATCTGCTTTGTCTCAGGGCACTCCTGGCCTCTGCCCAGCAGACGCAGCCGTTGCCCCAGACGCTCAGTGTCCTCGAGAGTACGCCGCAGGTCAGGGGCCTGCACACCATCATCAGGTAGTGACATGTGATCATGATGTCCTTCCTGCAGTCCTATAATTTGAAATTTAAAAACGTTTTGATTCCCTCCGCCGCAGGAACAAAGAAACCAGCCGAGACGAGTTTATCTTCTACTCAAAGAGGTTAATGCGGCTTCTCATAGAGCATGCTCTAACATTTCTACCATCTCAGGTGAGTAATCTTGGTTTGAATATCTAGAATCATTACTTTTTATTAATATGATTACCCTTGCATGAAAAGAGTTGCTCATAGTGATTAAAACAAACAAAACAAACAAAAAAACAGTAATTAATTCCCTCCAAATCCGAAGTGTTGTGATGAGTCTGACAGGTACCGTTTGGCTGCCTGTAAATCAGCGCAGCCACATCTTTTACTCAATCATCCTGGTGGGTGACTTATAAAAAACTCACCTGTCTCAGAGTTTTTGGAAGAGTCAAAACTATCCGTAGAGCCCAAAAAGCTTTTTTTAAAGCTGTAAAGTTGGACAATTTAAAATGGGAGTGTATGAGGATTTACTCGTTTTGCACCCAGCCTCAAGTGGTCACTAAAGGAACTGCAGTTTTTTGCACCCCTCAATGGACACAAACACAGCAACAACAACAAAGTTGCAATGTGCCTGCTGGATGTATGAAAGTGCAATACATGTGTTCCTTTAAATAGTCAAACTAAGTATGTTATTAAAACATAATCTGAATTTTACATTTCATGTTTCATAAGTCGGCTGTATCAATTAAAAAAGTAAAATAAGCCACGGTGAACCCTGTCGCCTCCCAAATTTCAGTGATGCCTGTCACTGTCATGCAAATAAGAAGTTTTGTCTGTAACTATAGCGTTATGTTCCACATACTGTGTATGAAAACCACTTCATCTTCATATTCTATCATGACAAAACAGCTGTAAAGCTTTTTGCGATTATTTTTCTTTCTTAAGATTTTTTTTTATTACATCTTTGATTCACTGAACTGCAGACAACCCTGTTTTCACTTTTTTCATCCTCATACCTTCTACTGTTTGCCTAGCGGTTAACAACCAAAACCACTTAACAGAACATATAATTATTTCTCTGTATTTCTCTGAAAATGTACTTGTGTTAAAGCTAAGTGAACACTATTAATGTTGAATTGAGGAATGAAAAGCTGCCCTTTTTGATGCGAACTCTTGTAATAAAACTTGTTAGGCTTACTGAGTAAAGCACCTCATTAGAGCCCCCTTCACAGTTAGCTCATGCATGTTAGTCATATTATCCAGAGGGCATGTTTTATACTTCACATTCTAAATCTGCTGACTTTACCTTTCTGCATAATGAGCTGATATTATTAGCTTCTCCTCAGTCACATAAAACAGTAACAATTAATTTCACTGGGGATTTTCTTTTTTTTTTTTCCCTTTTTTCTTTTTTTTGGCAAGGAAAGCAACACAGAAATATGATAGAACTTGAAGTGGCCCCATTATGCCCATTTGCACCTCCAGGTTTTTATATTTGGATTTCTGAGGAGTAGCTTTGCATAATTCACATTTTAAAAATAAACTTTTTTTTAAGGGATTGAAGAGCCTAGGTGCAGCTCAAATCTTCAAAGCTACTCTCTCTTGGCTGCCCCTTGTGAACAAAATCTTTTATATCAGGTGGGCGTGGCTTCTGGGCGGACCAAAGCTTCTTGCTAGTTAGAGCTGTGTGCATGAGATGACCATGTCAGGGATTTCTGTTTTCACTGCCATCACACAGAGTGACGAAAAAAAAAGAAAACTGCCTTACACTGAGTGTGTGAAGCTTGAGCTTTTGATTCATAGGGATTACCTACTGGAAAAGAAACTAAATACGTCACTATGATACTCATTACAGCAAAAAATAAATAAATAAATAAATAAATCTGAGAACTCTTGTGCAAATGTAGTGTTTGTGTTAAAGATCAGGTTTATATTTGTGTATTTTTTCTTTAGTGCCACTTTTTTATGTCGGTGTGTTTGTTTGTGGGGTGTTTGGTGTGTAATAAAACATCATTTCTTCTTCTGCCTTTGCAGCCGTGTTCAGTTCAGACCCCACAGGGCCATGATTACGAGGGCTGCAGTTACAACGGTAAAGGGGTAAGTGATGTTCTTGTTTTACAAGGTCTTGCTAGCTTCCAGTCGAATATGACCTCAGGGTTTCTGTCATCATGCTCGCTCTGCTGCCTCGTCTCCTCAGATCACCGGTGTGTCGATCCTGCGTGCAGGAGAGACCATGGAGCCCGCCCTGAGGGCCGTGTGCAAGGACGTCCGCATCGGCAAGATCCTCATCCAGACCAACCTTGACTCAGGCGAGCCAGAGGTAGAAAAATATGAGTCATTTACCATCAAATCCATGTGCGTGCTTTGCTTTCCAGACTTCACGCGCTCCTGGGTGTGTCTCAAAAATCACATCAAACAAAAGATGAAAATGTTTTGATTGTTTTTTAATTTTTTTTCCCTTCCACATGATGTGTGTCTCCGTGGTAACTACCCTTCCTGCTTTTGTAACCATGGTAACTGGTCTCCTCCTCTCTGGCCTCACCAGCTGCATTACCTGCGTCTGCCCAAAGACATCAGTGAAGATCATGTCATCCTAATGGACAGCACAGTCTCCACCGGCGCTGCTGCCATGATGGCAGTTCGAGTCCTATTGGTGGGTGGAAATTAGCATCATTACCCTGCAGTAAGGCAGCAGTAGGGACCCTCTCCTCTTGGGCAGTCACATGTGTTTTATTACCCATCTGTGTGGGCATTGAGTAGATGTTATTCTTTTTCTCTGGTGCAGTTTGAGTTGTATTATCCCTGCAAGGAAAACCTCAAATGTATCCTTTCCACTTACTGAGCTTCTTAAAATGATCAAGAAGCCACTAACTGTTGTTGCTGTGATGTGTGTGACTGAGCAGGATCATGAGGTGCAGGAGAATAAGATCATGTTGGTGTCGCTGCTGATGGCAGAGCTCGGGGTGCACTCTGTGGCCTATGCCTTCCCAAAGGTCAAAATCATCACCACTGCTGTGGACAAGGGCCTGGATGATTTTTTACATGTAATTCCTGGTATCGGTAAGCACTTCCATGCATCTTTTCATTCTTTCACGTACTGTTTTGTAAATTCAAATGGCCTGTGTTCCTACCTGTGCACACATTTTACCTGAAGTATTTATTTTTTTTACAGTTTGGAGTCAACAGGAGAAAACTTTTGAATTATAGCTGGCGTACAAAAATAAAAATTTAATGCAAGTTCATAAATCTTCATTAGCTTACCACACCGCCTTCAGCGTGCAGGTGTTGGGTTCATGATTTTAGCTTTGTGCAGGAAATAAAAAGCAGCAGACAAAAAGATAATAAGCATCTGTTTCTCTAGTTGACAAATTTAATTTCTTGTACCAGCAGTTTGTAATATTATGATTGTGTCATGTTAGATTTGAAGCAAACCTCTCTTTCTGTCACTACTGAGTGAGTGAGCAAAGTGAACATCAGATGGCCCACTCGTAGCTTTACAAACAGAAATACTTACATGTGATTATGTAACTTGTCCTGCAGAGAATACAAGTGAAAATACTGCAGCTGTTTTTTGAGGTGCACATGATGGCACAAAATTTTTTGCAGGTATAGGAAGTATAAGATTACACCTGAAATCTCATAAAACTCATTTGCTTATAGGCATTGCAGTCCTGAACTTTTCTCACACTTACCTGATAAAGGGACAAGTGTTAACACAAATGTCCGATGCACTCACATTGCATTTTAGCCGGTCTTTAATCTGCCTGCTCCCTAGTACAGGATCCATTTGGTATCAGATTGCACCAATGTGTGAATGGTGTAGCTAATCGTCTAGTACATTTGCTGCTAATGAGTGGTCATCCTTTGTCCTGCCTCCAGTTGCGCCATCCTGGCAGCACCCCACCTAATCCACACAGAGTATTTCTAGTAGTGACAGTGTGTTTGAAGCTGACTATTTCCTGAAGCGTGCACATCAGAAAAGATAGCTGTGGAAACCTGATCACAGCCTGATCGTAGCAATGCTATTTGAAGTTCATGTGTGAAAATGCAGTTAGGGACAGCAGTGCCGAATGTGGACATATTGGAGATCCCACCATTCAGCTCAGCCAAAATCAGGAGTGTCTCGGTTCAGCTTTGCCGAGGACCAAACGCTTGACTGCAGTGAGTCCAAAAGAGTTGCAGAGGTGATATTGTTTAGCTGTTAAATAAAAAAGGGAAGTTAAAGAACAATTTGGTCTGCACTTTTTCTTTCAATGAGAAAGAACAAGAATTAAAACATATGGCGGCCTCTAAGGTCAAAGCACATGCAAGAAAATGCAAACAGGGAAATGCACAAGTTTATAAATGTTATAGTTACCGGGAAAAAAACAGATAGTCTTGTGCAGGCTGGTAGTTGTGAACATTCAGTCAAATCTGCAGATGTAACATAAATCTCTACCTATCAATTTAGACTCGTTATGAACTATGGGTCAAATGTGTATAGTTTGAAAGAAACAAGTCTTGGGGCTGCATAATAAGGTTCAATCAAATAGTGCAACTTCATATGTATTTATATACATAGAGTATTGTGTCTGTGTGTTTATGCAAACTGATATTTTTAATCACACTGAGACAAAAAATAGGGGTAGTTGATGTTTTTATATGCTCAAAATGGGTCATTAAAGCCCGTGGGTAGGCGGTTACTAGGCAGCATGATGGTGTCATAATATATCACGTGTAATTCAACATTTGTGGATATAAATTAGATGTTAAGGTCATAAAATTAAAACAACAAGATGCTTTAATGAGGTGCTAAAGGTGCATAAATGCAAAAAAAACAACAAACCCAAATCATTTTAACCTGTTGCAAGGCAGTTGCTAGACAACATGATGATGCTGTAATATCTGATGCAGATAAGAACCTACCGGGACCTACGATGTATGTGTGCGCCAAGTTTGGTTGCTGAACTCCTGATGGCCTAGGAGCGGTTTTTGGACAAAGAAACAAACATACAGACAGATATTCTGTAGCATTTGTGTATTGTTGGAAGATTTATTATTCATCTAACTGATAACAGAATATCTGTAGAAGCACAGATTTTTTACCAGAAATTCTTCATTTGATCACTGTAACCGAGCACATATTTGGAAGTCGAGAGTCTCCTGAATGTTTGAGTGTTGTGTGTGTAAACTGATGTCCGTCCAAGCAGTTGTTGTTTAGATTCAAGCAGGTAGGAAGCGAGTCGAGTTTAATTAGAAAGTGAAAAGTGAACATAAAATCAATTTAACGTCCTTGAAAAATACCAGTGGAAAAATAGCTTTCTCTTATTGAGCCATTGCTTGTAAAAAAAAAAAAGAAAAAAGAGAGAGATCTATATCAAAAGCAGAAATTCAGTTTAAACTTTCATTCAACCTTTGCTGCTATTTAGCTTTACTATCTCTTCACACTGTGTTTTTCAGTGTGTCTTATCGTTACATATTTCTCTTGCCTGGCTTCGGGGGCGATGTCTGCTCCGCTCTGAGTGCACTGCTGTGTGTGTTTTTTTAGGGGACTTTGGGGACCGTTACTTTGGGACTGATGGCTTCGACAGCTGGAGTGATGAAGAGGACCAGGAGCAGCTGCCACACTGACTCAAACATTTGTGAGACTCTGTGAAAGAAAACACAAACTACTTGAAAACTGTTGTGCATCCTCCTCTTCAGGTGTAGACTAGCAAAAATTGTTATATTTACTTTTGTGTACTGTAAATTTTTTTTTTTTTTTTACTCCTCTGAAGATGATGTCTGAGTCCAGGTTTGTGCATGAGGGATATTTTGTTCTGCTCATCTTAAATATTTTAATACTGAACAGTAAAGCAGTGCCATTGCCTTTGAGGTGCAGTAAAACAATAATCCAATAACGTTATTAAATGGGTCCAGGTTGCACCAGCTGTTATTAAATCCAGAACTTAGTAAGAGCCAAAGAGTAAAGGAGTAAGTTCAAAGAGTAATGTACTAAATTTAGTTGGGCAATTAAAATATAGTGAATGTCTTCAGTAGTTTTGACTGTAGTAATGTGTAAATCTGTCATGCATATAGGGAGTTCCAGTTCAATACAGCAGCACCGTGAGGCAGCATCAGTATGGAAACATGCCCACAGTAGCAGGTAATGTTTGCCTTGTTCACAGTCTCAGTTTTACATATTACCAAGCCAAAGTACAGCAGATTGGACCAAAGAAAAGCTCACATATGATATTATTTGAATAATTAGGAGATCACCAACAGTAAGAAGTTTCTAGGCTCGATTTCTGCTGATTGCTAGGCTGTCTCCCTGTGCGTGTGTGGGCTTTCCTCTTACGAGCTTGAAGTCCAGTCGCCTTCTTTTGAAGCTCTTAAGACTACCATGACCTGGATGACTGAGAGCCTGCAGACATGTGGGCTTTCCTCCAGTTTCCTTTCGCAGTTCTAAGACACGTTTGTCAGGTTAACTGGTGATTGGTGAACTTGTCTGTGGCTGTAGAAGTGGTTAAATAATTTAATTTTTCTTCATTAATGGACATTAATGAATACATGTAATTCATCTTATAATTGTTTGGAAGTTTCACATTTAAAAAAAAACCCATAAATTTCATCCTCATGGTGGTGCTAGATGAAAAGTTAGAGGTGCTTCTTTTTGGGGGTGAACAGCACAACAGACAATTTTGAAGGTATTTGTGTGATTCTTGAAGTCGCAGATGAACTGATCTCTATCGATAAAACCAGTTGTGTCTAAACGTAGCTCTGACTATGCTCCATTGGAGAAATGTGTGTTTTTAAGAAGAAAGACATTTCACACAATTTAGATTGAGTGTGAAACGTCTGATTGCATGAACCCTACCACCATTATAGGTCACGTGTTTGGTCATTAGTTTGACCATTTTGTGAGCATAATTTTAGACCTTTATAATGTAATTCAACCATATCTTCATAGCAGCAAACTAAAACCAATTAACTCTTTTGCACTCATCTGAACGGCTCAGGCTAATATTATATTCTGGGTATTTGGTTCACATAGAACGCAGCAGTGATGTATAGGATTTACAGGCTATAAAAGTTAGTGTGGTGAAGCCTGTTATAAATTGGGATATGTTCATTTGCACGTAGTTGTTGAGTCACTTGTATTTTTATAGCACATTTAAAAACAACTGGCTTGGACCCAAAGTGCTTTCCAGTCCAGGCAGGTGGATTAACAAAACAGAGGTAAAACATGGAAGGTAAAAACAGCATTAAGAGAGAAATATGGATAAAGGAACTGGGAACATATAAAAGTAATGGCATAAACACAGTGTAATTACACTTACACAGCATTTGATCCCCTTTCTTCCACATATCCAATTCATAGGATCATAGAGGGGCTGCGGCCTATTTCAGTTGTCATGGGGTGAGAGGTGGGATACACCCTGGCAAGTCACCAGTCTTTCACAGGCTAAGAGACACAGACAACCATCTACAGCCAATGCAGAACCTAACATGCAAGTCTTTGGATTGTGAGAGGAAGCCGTGGGTGCTGGAGGGACCCCACGCAGGCAGAGGAAGGGTTCCAGTCGGGCAGTGAATTTGAACCAATGCCAATTAAACCAATTAAATATTGGAAATAACATTGTTGTAGATCACTACTGTTTTTCAACTGAAAAGAGTTCTCTTTTATCCTCGACATAAAAAAGAGCAAAAAGTAAAAAATGTGAGCACTTTTTATCCAGTAGGGTTTATTGTGTCTTATAAATCAAATTAAAGCATTAAAATTTACTGTAAATACATAGTTACAAAGGAAACAAGTCTGAGTTTATGAATAGCTGGTGCAACAAGAAAGTGTTCAGTGAACTTTCACACTTTCACACTGCTCTAGAAGGATTTTTCTGTATGAAATGGGATAAACTTATGTCTGAAACAGAGCTGTTGTTTTAATTTATAGTAAAGTCACATAAGAGGAGGGATTAGATAAGGATTTAAATGTAAAACATATAAATCTTGGATTCAGGGTATGAAAAACATGAGATTTTGATACAGATTCAGTTTTCAGCCCTCACATCCACCACTCCAAGTTACTGCTGGAGTTTGACATTGTGTGTCTGTGAGGTGCTGGGTCACGGACGGTCACATGCTCATGCTTGAATACTTTAAAAGCTCCTCTCAGGGTTCACGCACAGGCCGCCTGGCTCCTCTCTGCAATGCACTTTAAGGCCTGAAGGGGTCAGTATAGCTCACATTAAGCTTCTTCCAGTATGATTTATAGTGTGTTTATTACCTTTGAGAAATGTGTTATTTTACAGCACAGGAAATGCACATGGACTCACCTGAATCACAATTTAGAGGTTTGAGGTGAGCAGCTGGAAACATCCTTGTGCTTCTCAGTTTAACTGACTGATCTGTTGCTGGGTGCGGTGTGTTAATGCTCACTTGTGAACATGTAAATAATAATGTTTCAGGGCTAAAAATGAGCAGTAAAAGATCACCTTCTTGTCGTGTTCGCGTCTCTTGATCCTTCTGGAGAAAAAACGGACTCCCCAGCCACTTTGTGACCTTATGCTGAGTGTTATCTCTCCTCTGTCTCTCTCTGATCCTCTGTTTTTTCACCATCATGCACTTTGACTGCGTCTGACGGCCTCATTCATTCATGTTTATTCAGTCATTCATGCTCCTCACAGCGAGATTATCACATCACATAAGCTGTGAACGTGGTATCATCTTCACACCTACAGAATCTCCTACTCGTTTGTTTTGGGCTGTTTTCCTTTTTTCCTTCCTGTGATAGCTCTTCGCCGAGTGGGTGACACTGTGATCACGGATGTCATACGACGCACGCTGTATTCTCCAAGACAGCAGAAGACTCGCTCAGCCATGTGACTACTGCCTCAAGGTTAACCTGTTACCATGGAGACAAGCCCACCAATGAAAATTCAGCAGACGGTTGCGCTGTTGACTGCAAGCTTTTTGTTTTAAGGGGTGACCTATTTTTTTTTTTCCCTCCCCCTCCCTCCCCAACACTTCACAGCCACTCAGACGCAGACCCCGCTACTCTGGCACATGTGCACGTGCGCACAGACATGCACACTGATGGGAATGCTACTCACACACATGCACATACATGCTCCTCAATGAGGTCTGCAAGGTTGTGCACAGAAGAAGCAAAGGACAAAATGCACAGCTTTAGATTTAAATCAGTGGGAAAACATTATGTGTTTATAAATCATTTCCCTAAAGGGCCATTACAATTATTGGGATGCATTTCTAGAGATATTTCTTCTTTCCTTCCTAGGCCTAAATACTTGAATCTACAGGCAGCTTTTAAGATCACAAGATGGCAACTGTTAGAGAAATCCATCATCATCAGCAGTGCTTGGCAAATTCTGCTTTCTGTCCGTTTTAATAACCGAGACTATGAGATAAAGCATATTTTTTTTAAAGTGCCACTTTATTACAAAAGTATAAACTTGACTGACATTTCATGAATAGTAATCTTGATATAAAACATTACAATCTTTTGCACTTAGCACTTAATTACACGCTTTTGAGTACAAGACCCTGTAGTCTGAATAGCAAACACACAACATTAGCTGCCACATTTAACTTAGCAGGGCTTTCCAAGAACACACCGTAGCTCCACGGCTTCGAAAAAACAACAAACAGAATACACTGAAATTTACATTGCAGCTGTTTTTGCAGTTTGTGTCACAAGATAAAGTCATTCCAAAAACACAACTGAACATAATAGAAAAAGATAGATTTCTTGACACTGATGATATATTTATTATTCTTTCTCTTTTGTCATGTACATACACATTGCATCAACATACAGTATAATCACATTGTTTGCTGGGGATATTTGGTCAAATGAATTTGTCATTACTGTCCAGGCTTTGTATGCAATTTCTGTGCGGTGTCCTCGGGGTGATGCTGCTTAGCCAACCATTTGCTTCACATTTCTGCAATATTTTTAACACTGATAACGGAGAGAGAGAGAGAGAGAGAGAGAGAGAGAGAGTTCGTCGATGGGGTGATGATGAGACATGACGTTTTGCTAATACACATCAGTTCTAGTGGAGCTTTCCATACTGCACTATGATGAAACCAAAGCAGACTCGTATGACCACGAGGAGGGTACTATGTAGATGAACAGTCCACAGATATGAGCGAGGACTGAACAGACGGGAGGATTGTGTGTATGTGTTTCTGTGTGCGTATGTGTGGGGTGGGGTTGAGTGGACTGTCTCCACCTTTAGGACTCGAGCAGTTCTCCTCAGTCTTGTTACATCTGTACTGTGTCTCTTTCAGGTACGGGAGAGAAAAATAATCCTCCCCTCTGCTGCACAGAGTCCCACTGAGCCAAAGACATCCTTAATCTATCTGGCTTTGAGCTCTACAGAGAAATAAAGCAACACACTAACAAAAAATAAACAACCAACGACAATAGAAAAAAAAAACATTCATATAGAGGTACCACATGACAGTGCTTAATTTTTTTTCATGTTTTTTTTTTTTTTTTAGCATGCAACTTGTAGCAGGCAAAGTGCAGAAACAGGATCAACAAAGTAAAACACTTCATTTACAGACGGCAGTGGAGACAGTGTTCAGTCCATGTATAATGAAACAACATGACGGAGGGGAAGAATCTGGTCGGCTTTTTAAAATGTGAAAACGGTCGAAATTAGTCAAAGCTTTTAGGAGGAATGCAAAATATGTGCAAATTTTTTATTTAATTTATAATACTCTCATAATTGTTTCTCTTGGTCCCTGAGCTTTCAAGTATTTTGATTAGTAATTCGTTCATTTATATCCTTTAAATTCCGTCCTGAATCACGTCTTGACCAACTACAGGGAAGGTCTGTTCACAACAGACTGAGTGCTACCAAAATATTTCACACAATGCTTTGCCTTTTTCCCCCAAATAGGAGTCCTACTATATGCGACTTTTTTTACCCGTTAGAATTGAGGAAGAATTTAGGCTTTTTACTTTATTGTGCTTTGCACATATGTATCAGTAAAATAGAAGTGCTACTGTTACCTACAGATTGCTCTGCAATGGTTTTGTGCTCATTTATTTTTCACTACCTTTGGATTCCTTATAAGGATAATAAATTGGACTTTTTATTCAGCCCAGGTCATAACAGAGCAACTTTACTACCTCAAGGCCTCTGGAGCCCGTGAAAGGCTTGACGTTATGACTTGAATGTAAACAGTATGTGTGGGTGAGCATGACAGGGGCTCAGCCGTCACTCCTTGTGGCATTAGCTCAGCTCCTTGTGTTGGAAGGATAGGGGGTCACAGTGCAGCCGCTGCCTCAGAGCCCTGTTACGTACATCTCCATGCCATCGTTGAAGGTGAAGATGGTGGTGGTGCTGGAGGTGGCAGAGCCCTGCTTCAGGTCGCCGATGCTCTCGTACAGGTTCTCCCCCGGCAGCAGAAGGGCTTTGGCAGGCAGGTGCTGTAACTTGGGTGTCTGCTGCGTTGGTGGCGGTGGAGGGGGCTGCTGCTGCTGCAAGGGCTGCTGGGCTTTCTTCCTCCTTGGCCGCAGGGTGGCACACATGTTAGGGGGTCTCTCTCGCTTCCAGGCGCCTCCGCCTTCCATGTTCTCATAGGCCAGATCACACTCCTCTGTCCCAATGGACTCGTAGCAGTGGTCGTCAAGGGGCCCACCAACTGCTTTGCCCTCTTGAGGTGCCCACGTCTGGGGTTTGACCACTACACTAAACCCCCCATCCCGGTCTCGGTCCCGGTCACCTCGACCCAAGGTCCGGAAGCCGGGGTTGGCTGGGGGAGACCCCGGCACAGCTCTCTTCTTCTTTCCTGGTTTACACACCTTAGAGTACATCTCGGCCACCTGCAATCAAACAAGTTCAGAGATTATCTTCTGTAAAAAGGACTTTAAATAACCCACTCAACCTGCCATTTTATTCACACTATAGCTAAAAGTTGTGTTAGGCAAGCTGCGTAAACCTCCAGAGCTGAAGAATAAAGCCAGCAAGAAGCACCCAAAACCTTATAATCTCTGCAAGACTTCACCTTTACCAATTTGAGTCCCTGCATTTGTACTTCTCACACATATTGTTGACCTTTGGAAGCTTTTAATCTGCAGTCATCTGATAAATGGTCTGTATTTGTATAGCGCTTTACTAGTCCCTAAGGACCCCAAAGCGTTTTACAACCAGTCATCCACCCATTCACGCACACACCACCAGTAGGCAACAGGTGAAGTGTCTCGCCCAAGGACACAACGACCGAGACTGTCCAAGCCGGGGCTCGAACCGGCAACCTTCCGATTACAAGGCGAACTCCCAACTCTTGAGCCACGATCGCCCCACAATAAGTAATGTGCTTTTCTGAGTGGTAGAGCCTGTCATACACATTAGTTTTTTAGTTTTGATAACTGAAATTCTTTGTTAGCACTTCTACATTGTCTTGATAAGGCCAAGGCCTAATAACTTGTCATTAGTGATCACGAGTGACTACAGCACTCTTTGCCAGCAGGATTTGTTTGAGAGCACTTGTTGGATTAATATTTGGAACAGTGAGGAAGTCCAAGGAATTCAGTGAAGCTCCAAGAAGGAGAACTGTAGATTTTCACAACTTGAGAAGGTCTCTTGGAGCCACTTATAAAAAACTGCGAAATCCAACATCATCATTTCAAAATATTGTGATAAATACACATTATTAAGATGTGTCACCACTTTTTCAAGACCTTCAAGAGCCAAGCTGTCACTCTCAGATGAGAGGAAGTTGGTAAGGATATTCAGGAACCATCAAGGCTCAAGCCTGCCATGAAGTGGAAATTTCTGGAACACCAGCATCACTGTCCACAGTGAAATGAGATTTACATCATCATGGACTAAGAGGGTGCTGACCAAGTAAAAAGCCCCTGCAACAAATCTGACACCTTAAGGCTCCACTGAAATTTGAAGTTGCCCTCATGGCCAAACCAAATGCCTTCTGGAGAAATATTTTACAGTCAGACAAAGATGGAGCTGTTTGGCCACAGTGACAAGATGTATGTTTGGAGCAGTTCAGGTGAGGCTTTCAAACCTAAGAACACTGTACCAGCTGTCAAGCATGGTGGTGATAGCATCATGCTCTTGGGTTATTTTACTGCCGGTCCAGTATTACCTCAAATTAACAGCTACATGGTGGAAACTTGGACAGAATTGGGTGTTTCAACAGGACAATGTTTAGTAATGGATAAAGGAAAAACAGCCCATATGCTAGAGCCACTACAGGTAGGAAATTAGTACGTCTAAAGCTCACCAATTTTCTTTTACATCATTTATTAAACCTTACAGAAACCCAAAGAAAAAAGTAAGAGTTTTGGGTTTTAAAAACTCACTGCTCCCAGACAAGAAGTAGTCCTGGTCATACAGCAGCATACACAGTTTTATTTTCCAACAGACTAATCAATTAAGTTTCTTATCTGTACACTGGGGGAGTCAGGATGCACACAGATCCAGGCAAGCTGCTTCCTGTCATTTATGCTCAGTTATGTGTCTCCTGGGTCCTGCAGATATGAGGTAGTCTCTCGTAACCCTTGGTAAGAAAGCCATGGCTCCTTTACCTCTTTACCCCATAAAGACAACCTCCCCTATACCCTTAATGATGAGTTTTGAAACCTCAGTATAGGTCATTAAATGCGAGGTTTGACAACTCTTTTTTTCCAAGGCCAGACCTAGTAACCCATATAGGAGGAGATCATCCTCCCTAACTTCTAAGGAAAACCCAGTTTTTAAATGATTAAATCAATTAAATAATATGCGTGAAACATCTTGTTAAGCATTCATTTAAGAGGGAATGGGGAGCTCTAAATGGGATGATCCATAGACGGAAAAAATAGAAACCCCCAGCTTACCGCAGCAGCAGACGGCTGTATATTCTCCACTGTGTGAGCACTCAGCGGGCCCAGGGCTTTATTTTGGAGCATGAGCATGTCATCATCCTCTGGAGGCTTCCAGATGTACTGCTCTCCGTTGCCCATAAACATCACTTCCTGTCAACAGAACAATAAATCACATTTGGGGCAGAGCTGGTCACATGGTCATGCGTGAATCTGCACTGAAAGAAATGAGCATTCATGAATTTAAAAAGCGGATTTTACTAAACAGACGCAACAGGGCGGATGCATGGCAAATTAACCCCTCTTAAGAATTCTGCGGCACATAAAAACATACTGGATGGATTTCATACAGGGGTGAATAGATTTTCCCTGGAAGGTGGAGCCTGCTTATATTCTGGATGACTCAATTTCAACACCTTGCGTCATCCACGGGAAAATCAGCAGTGAACAGGCCTGTGAGCAAACTGCTTACACATGTAAGCCTGTGAACTGTGCGTGCTGTTGAACTCAGGTCACAGCAGATAGAGCGACCCCCCTGACCTCACGCGGGGCAGCAAATGGTTTCCCACTGTTACCTGGAGGGGTGCACAAAGCCTTACAGCCACAGTAATAGCAGACAGTCTGCCTACACTCCTGCTGCTGCGAACATATGGAGGAGGTGACACTGCTGAGAGCAGAAATACCCCACTATCACCAAAAACTCTTCGACAAATAAACACCGCTCAGCGCCTAGACTTCAAAGAAATTCTAACATATCACAGCACCATGCATGATGTAGCCAAGTGCTCTGGAAACTGCAACACTGGCACAATTACAACCGAGCAGATCCTCTGCAGTATCAACTGGAACTGTGAAAGAAATACTCTGCAGATCCTGATCACAGCACCACAAACTGCATATTAATGTGTCGTACTGCTGCTGACAGAGAATAACAGAATGAAATAATGATCACAGTGACATTTCTGACATTTCTGTCCAAACAGAAACTGATGGCCCCATGTTCTATGGAAACTTGTTATCCGTTTACTTGGCTTCTGTCATGTCTATATGTACAATAGCGGTTGCTCATACATGGCTTCACACTGCTCTAAGCGATCAGTTTCAGACAGTTGATTTTTTTTCTCATGGCTCTGTTCAGTGTCAGAGATTAGATATCACTAATGTGGACATCTCAGGCACACAGCTTTGGCTGTGAGCACAGAAACCCCACCCACATCTTGGCCTAACCTTCTGGTTTAGAGCAATAGCCAATCAGAAGAAAGGGGGTTAAAGGAGGAGGGACTAAAACTGCTTGTTTTAGAAAGTGGATGACCTGAGATACTGCACCAAGCTCCAGTGTAAGGAGTGGAAAAAAATCCAAGGCTGATCTGCACAAGACACTAAAAACTCAGCAGATAATTTTTTCTCTCCCTCTAGACATCCTCCTTAACTTCCTTCAGTTCATAAAACCGACCACTTAAGGTGATGCTGTGTTTCTGTGGCTTATTGCACAGAAATATGTAGCTGTCAGGCATCAACATTACTTTGGGTTTTATTTATTTAGGAATCACTTTGCATTTATTGCTTAAATGATAAATATTACATATTTTCCTAAGTATCGTGATGATTTGTAGAGAGGCATATCCGTCAGTCTTTGTCCTCTCATTTCTCGTGTGCATCTCAGCAAAGTGCTGCTAAGTTTTGCCACCCAGCTGCAAAATGTGACAATGCTATCATATGAGAAAAGGTAATTAACTGCATGTTTTGGAAAGCTAAGTATAATAATTTCACTAGCCACGCTAAGGCCTGATTATTGCCAGACCTGTTGAATCGAGAAATTACTCAAACAGATCCTTTTGGATAAAATGATTTAAAATATTTAGAAAAACAACACCGTGCCACAATCTAAAGAAAATCAAGAACTACTGAGACACAAAGTCATGGACATCCATCAGTCTGGAGAGCATTATAAAGCCATTTCTAAGGCTTTGAGACCGCAGTGAACCACAGTGAGAGCCATTATCTACAAATGGAGAAAACTTGGAACAGTGATGAAACCTTCCCAGAAGTGGCTGGACTACCAAAATTACACCAAGAGCGCATCAATGATTCATCCAGGTCGGAAAAGAACCCAGAACAACATCTAAAGAGTGGCAGGCCCCGCTTGCTTCGGTTAAGGTCAGGGTTCATGTTTCAACAATTAGAAAGAGACTGGGCTAAAATGGCATCATGAGCGAGTTCGAAGGAGAAAAATAAACACAGATGAGTGAAAAGAACACAAATGCTCGTCCCACATTTGCCAAAAACACCTTGATGACCCACAAGACTATTGGGGACATATTCTGTGGATTGATGAGACAAAAGCTGAACTTTTTGGAAAGTCTGTGTTCCTTTACCGCTCGTGTATTACCACTGGTTATCAGTTCATGCCCAGAAGTTCAAGCACACTTGGGCTATGCAGCAGGATAATGATCCAAACCACATCATTGAGTCCACCTCTGAATGCCCCTAAAAAAAACTTGCGGTTCTCGTTGCCGTGTGGCACAAGCTATTTGGTTTAGGAGGCAATTACTTTTTCACACAGGGTCAGATAGGTTTGGATGACTTTATTCCCTTAAAGAATGAAATCATCGTTTAAAAACTGCTTCTTTTATTTACTTGGATTATCTTTGACTAATATTAGAATTTGTCTAATATATATTTATATAATATAAAACATGAAAAAATAAGAAATCAGAAGGGTGCAAATTTTACTACACTGTACCTGAGAAGTTATTTTTAAGAATTATCTTGATTAAATTGAATTTTTAAAGTATCTCTCCCTCTTTTCATTAAAATGATCACTTGAGTGTTGTATAAAAACCACGTCTAAAAGTCATGTGGAGTCAGCATCAAGTATAAATCACACCTGTGACAAGTTTTAAAAGAATAGTTTAACATCTGGGGAAACAACCCGTGCTTATTTTCATGCTAAGAGTTAGATGATAAGATTTCTGCTGCTTTCATGTCTCTAACGGAAATCTGAAGCTTAGCTCTGTCCACAAGTAACAATATCCTATTATCAGGGCTCACTAATTAATTTGTTTGATCTAATTTGATAAATTCCCACTTAGAACTGATAAAACTGAACAGCAGGAGAAAAAGAATGGTTTTATTTCTATTTCTTTCCTTCTGTTGTAAATTGCTCTTTTTCAAATCAGTTCTCTAGTTCCAGGTGCAAACACCAGCTGTTCAGGTGTTAATATTTTTATAATGTGCCTGAGAAAGTTTTATTTTTCTAAACTTGAATGTGTAATAACCTCAGAAAGTACTCAAAAGCTGTTTGCGCATCTTATTAGGGGTTGGGAAGCTCATCTTGTAACCGGAAGGTTGCCGGTTCAATCCCCAGCTCTGTCTGTCTTGGTCGTTGTGTCCTTGGGCAAGACACTTCACCTACCACCCAACTGGTGTTGGCCAGAGGGGCCGATGCCGCGATATGGCAGCCTCGCTTCTGTCAGTCTGCCCCAGGGCAGCTGTGGCTACAACTGTAGCTGCCTCCACCAGTGTGTGAATGTGAGAGTGAATGAATAGTGGAATTGTAGAGCGCATTGAGGGTCTCGAAAAGCGCTGTATAAATGCAATCCATTATTATTGTGTTGTAGATTCCATTTGAAAGGGAAAAATTATAAAGTGAAAATAGATCTTTGGATTTTTGTTGCAAACTTATTGAGATCAAAAATTGAAAGCTTATTTATAAAAGTGTTCTGACCCTCAGTTCAATGCTTTTTAAAGCCCCTCTGGCATCCTTTAGAGCTTTGAATCGTCTTAGGTTAGTCTCTGCAGGCTTTGTACACCTGGATTTGGACAGCTGATCCCATTCGTTCTGGCTGATTTTAGTGGCAAAAACTTCCTCCTTCTCAAAATTATTGAATCCACTGTACTCCTGGGGGCACTCGAAGCTTTAGAAATGGTGTTGATCTATACTTCACCACATTTTTATCATGGAAGTCTACAAAGTTACTTAAACTTTATGGCTTGGTTTTTATCCTGACCTGCAGGAAAAAACAATGTGCTTTTTGAAACTGTTCAGCTGATTTATTTTCTCATAAGTGGAGTTCGGTTTGACTTTAAAAACAACTGAAGGTTTATTAAAGCAAATTATTATTAATCATTATTTATGATCATTTCTCATGTTTAGTTTTTTGAAAAATCAATATAATAAAGGTGTTTTTAAGTTGTGGTGAATATTGGCGTTAAAGCAAGCCTTTCTTATATATGGGAACATACCTGAGTGGTGAACGACAGGTATATAAAAGCAGTAATTGAGATGAGGATATCTGATATTGTGAGACAAACAATTCTGAAATGTTTAATAATAGTCTTTGTAGAAATTAGAGAATATTTAAGCGAGAGCTCCAACTGGAAAGTTATTTGTGTAGTTTATATCATTCTAGTCGGTGTTATTTAGCATGTTAGTGGTTTCCCAGTAGATATGGGCAGATTTTACGGAGTTGAACATATTAAACATTTATATGTAGCTTGGAAAAACTTGGAGATGAGTGTCATTATTTGAATGCAGTCAAAAATATCTGCCTGTGTATTTTAGGTTGAGACCAAAGGTTTGGAATAGTTGTTTAATACTTAGGATAGTTTACTGCCTAAACTTGCAAAAATTAGTAAAGAAATTGTATCTGTATTTGGATGTGGGTGATTTGTTGACAGTTTTCTTTTTTCTTTTTTGTTAACGATGATTATTGATGATATGTATTATATAACCCTATGTTTTGTTTGTTGTATATTTTCTCTTTTACCTCTGGAGGAAGTTTAATGGGAATGAAATAAAGTCTAAAGTCTAAATAAAGGCAATCTCAGCGTAGAAATGCCAAAAAACTGCAGTTCCTCTTTTGGTCATTTAAAGCCGAATTTAAAAGTGAGTCAATAAGCTTAGAGTTTAATGTTAAAATGCCCATTTTTACACAGCATAGTTACAAAAAAATATGGGTTAGGTCAATCTAGCAAATTTCCTCCTTCATGGAAAGTATACTTGTAATTATTCTCTATGACTTATTTGTTATAACTACCCATTTCTGCTGCATCAATCTTTTTTTGAGGTTTGTTGCAACTTGGCTTCATACAGTCTACAAATGCATCTTACTAACCAGCTGATTACTCCAACTTCTGATCCAAACACGGTAACTTCAAATCTAAAATGTCAAACTCTTCCTATCAGATCATAAAGATTAGGTTTTCAGCATGCAAAACATTTAACCCTACCAACCTTTGGGAAGGACGGGACATTGAAGGCCTCGACGTTTCTACGGGGCAACTTGGTGCTGTGAGGGTGTGGTGGAGGAGGAGCTGGATGTGAAGGCGGGGCATGTCTTGGAGGCGGTGCCGGTGGTTCTCCCATATCCGTCCCGCTGTCCCTCTTTTGAGGCGCCTTATCTGCTTTCCTCAGCTTCCTGACGCAGGCGTACTCGGCCGTCTCCGGAGGGTGAGGGGGTGTCATGACCTGGGCCTCAGGTTCGGGGAGCCCTCCTTCCACATCGCCGTCTGGGTCTGGGGGCGCCGGGGTGTTGGCAGGGACGGCCGGAGGGGCCGGAGTGTCTGTCTGACCGGCCCTGCCTACCATGGCGTAGAGGGCATCATCAGTACGTGAAGTGGAGGAGCGCCGGCCCACTTCAGAGTAAGTGTGCTCGCCGTCCTCTCCAGTCCCAGAGGGGATCTGGGGAAGCTGCCTGCCTTGAGAACGAAGGTCAGAGTTAGACCGGCGGCTGGGCAGCAGCAGAAGGTCCGTGCTGGCTAGCCTTTTCTTTTTAGATGCCTCTGCAAGGCACATACAGCCTGCTGTTCTACCGTCCGTGCAGCCGATACCCCCCTAGGGAGCAGAACTCACAAACTATGCTCCTCTTTTACCGGAAGGTTCAGCAAACATTTGTGAACATGAATAAATCTCTCACTGGTAAGAGGAAATCTGAAGCTGACAGTAAACTGGGAACTGACATAGATGTTTGAGAATATGCATCCAAATTGGCTTCATTCCACTGCAGTGGAAGCAGGACAAGTATGAAGCAGGACATATGCTTATATTTCTTCAAACTCTCTGAGGCTACTGTCACAGTGCCCACAAACACAGTTCCCCTGTTGACTGTCAGCGATGGAGCTCCAGGATTTATCTTGGCACTGTGATTTGTGTCTTTGAGAGCGAGAGAGAGATGCACGTTCATAAATCAAGACTGAACCGTCTAGTGGAATAAGGCTGAGTTGTAAATGTAATGTGAATTCTGTTTCGGGGTAAATTTCTCCGCAAATATGTCCTCAAATCTTTTCAGAAAAGAAGATTTGTGGATTTAGGGCCAGATCGGATAGTACGGATGTGGAGAAAAAATGTTGCACTTATTTGCAATATTTACATAAATTTTTTTATCACCGCCAAGGAAGTTATGTGATTGGTTTAATTCTTTTTTTTCCTTTCTTTCTTTTCTTTTAATTTTTACTTTGTTTGTTCGTTAGCAGGATTACTCTAAAGGTTACGGATGGATGTGCATGAAATTTTACCAGAGATGATTAACTTTTGAAGTCAATCCAGATCCAGCTCTTCATCCAGGAAGTTTGGGAGGATTCTTTACCAGATAGGGCAAAATTGGACATTTTCACATCATAGCTTCACAAATACATTTCAGATTGAAATAAGAAAAAATCTGGAGATGTCATCGTGATGACCTCAAAACAATATCACAAACAAGTCTCAGGAGGGAGGGAATTTTCAGTCTCAGATGACTGTTTGAGTCAGACTGTGACCTGGAGGCTGAAAATGAGGACAAAATGAGTAAACAGATAAATATATGTATAAAAAATCCATTAAAGTCCTTTCAAGTGTTTCGCTTTTGAAGGTTTCTTAAAATCTGACTGACTTTTGGAGTTGACCCAGACTTGTGTCCAGCAGTTTTCCAAGGTCTTCTTTACCAATACATGATTACAAAACTGGATATTTGTATAAATGTATAAATAATAACTATAAAGTTAAACAAGCCAAAACAGAACAGATAGTGGTTACATTTTATTTATAGTACTTCTACTTGTTATGCTGTTAATTGGCTGTTACATTTTTCAAATTATTTTCTGTTTTACCATTTCATGCACAAATTTGTTGTCGCTCTAGTGTATCTCCAGCTTTGGTGATTGACACGGATTTAAATTAACAAAACAATTACAAGCTTCTAATGTGTCTAAGGAAAAAATGAAATACCCCATCCCTCTGAAAATTCCCTCCAAACCCCCCTGCATAATATCAAAAGTGCTTTGTCATGCAGCTGGTCGGCTCCTAAAGAGCTGATATCATGGCGATGCAAGGTTTTCGTGTGACACCAGCGGCGTACCATATAAAAAGCCCAGGCCAGGATTAGTACGTAAAAAATGCACTCACTTTTGCCATTGCAGTTCATCTTGTTCATCTCAGTGTCTGATTTACTGATGGACCGCAGCTTCGACTGCCTGAGTATACCCTGACAACACAAACGCACACAAACAGACAAACACAGGGGCCAGTTAAACACTAATTAAGACTGAAGAGGTGCCCTCTGAATGATAGTGCGCCCTGCTGGATTGAGTTTATTCAGCTACCTCTGCTGCAATACAAACAAAACACTGAGGAGCATGTTGTCTGATACCTACCATGTCCATGAGGCGGTGTTTTCCACCCTCGCCGGGGACATTGTGTGTCTTCCCCTTCCTGTGACAAACACAACCACTCTGTCATACACGATTCAACACTGTGTGTGTGTGTGAGCCTTGTTTGTGTGCGGCTGAGTCATCCTATGACTGTGCATATGTGAGAGAGACATTCAAAGTACATTTGCACATGTGCATACCAGTGGTGGAGGATTACTGAGCACTCGAGCACTGTAGTGCAGGTTTGATGTTCTCTACTGGATTACAAGAGCCCTTCGACCACATTTAACCAGATTTCAGATTAATATGCATTTTTTTAAACAGCAAGTTGTTAAACTTTAAACCGGGCATGTCAACCTTTTTGCTTCTTTCCTCTTCAAATCAGTTTTGCATCAAAAATAAAGATTAGAAGAAATTCAAAGTTTAAAACCTTTTTTTTTTTTTGTTATTAATCGTGTTATGAACCCTCACTTCTGCCTTTTGACCCTTTGCAGGGGGCCTAATACTTATGCTTGAAACCACAGGATTAAACCACTCAAGTAGGTAAAAGTAGTTCCAGCTTGGATTTTGCCAGTGGAATAGAGCTTCTACTTTATTTTACTGGCACTTCTGCTGAAGCTTATTTAAAAGGTTTGAAATAGGGATTCATTGATTGTGACTCGCAGGGAATCATAATTTGGTCTAAAGATGCTGCCAATACCAATTTGTTTTTAGTCTTTATATTTTGTTTTTGTTGTTTAATTCTTCTTTGATTCTAGCAAAATAAAGTAATCTTTCTAAAGCAATATCTGACTTGTTTTAAAGTCTTTCTGCTCGTATCACACAATCTTTAGCTGCGATAACTGACAAATATGAGTAACTGGCATCCATAAATCTAAACTCATCCACCAATATACCAATATCATTCAAAAAGGCCAAGAGCAACCAATATACAGATCTTAAAAATGAACATCCTGATTCTGAACATGTGTGTACGGTCATTCATGCGTGCATAGCGCTCACCTCTGGCAGCCCACGCAGAGCACCACAATAAGGATCGTAACTACAAAGGCTGAGGCAGCAGCGATAGCACCCAGCAGCAGGACCTTGCCGTAGGGAGGAGCCGTGAAGTTCAGCCCGTCCTGCATGGAGGCCATGTGGGAGCGCTGGCGCTCACTTGCTCTCACACACACTCACACTCACACCCTTACACTCATGCACGCCGGGAAGTGCCACGGTCTCACTGGGATCTGCAGGGAGAAGGCACAGAGCGGTGCTTAATTACAAAGTGATCTAACCTTTACGAAACATTAAGTACGTTAACAAAGCAGCGGAGCCAAAATATTATATTCACAGTGCAGAAGGAGAGCAGCAGTTTGAAGAGAGAGTGAATTCCCATCCAGGATGAAGCACTGAAGTGAACAGACATTACGCCTCAGGCATGTGCTGCTGCTTTACCTTGTTTGAGGGATTACCGAGCTTTGTGTCACACCTACATAGACATCAACAGCATACCTGCTCGGCAGCATAGCATCTATGTCTAAACGTTACCGCATCGATCCAACAATACATTTAAACGGGACCTACAATTTTTTTTTTACATTTTTTTCCCTTTTCAGCAGTGAGTACATGTAAAACTCAACCAAAGTTGTCCCTAAACCAATTTGAGCAGCCAAGGAACAGAACAACAAGCTCCTGCCTTCAGCTGCTACCTTTCAGTCATTGCCCAAGATCTGTGAGTAGTGATTGTAAGAACAAGATGGTGGATATGAGCGGCAAAAGTGAGCTTCCATCAAAGGGTATCGGGGCTCAGCCAAAAGGGTAAGATGAAGAGTATTTGGCAATGTGGGAGGACTTCTTGTAGAGAGACTCTCTCCTTTACTGCACCAAAGGAGAAAGTTGAGGTAGTTCGATCATCTGATTGGGATGCCTACTGGGTACCTCCACTGTCCAACTGGGAGGAAACCCCGTGGAAGACCCAGGTCACGTTGGAGAGATTATGTGTCTTGGCTGGCTTGGGAATGAATAAGTGTTCTCTTCTTGAAGAGCTGGAGCAGGTGGCTGGGGAGAGGGAGGTCTGGGTATCTCAGCTTTAGACTGCTGCTCTGGTCACCCAGACTTGGATACACAGCAGAAAAAGGATGTATAGCCAGATTTTCAAAAAGATTGCAGTACTTGAGTCGGCAAATCTCAGGCTACACACTTCTCTGAACACTCAATTTCAAATACTTGTTTTCTGCTCTTGACTCTGTATAATGGAAAAAAAAAAACAAAGCAGATATCCCTAACATGGCCATCTCAGCCCAAAAACCTATGGCTGTTAGCACTAAATGTGCACACACTTGCTGTTTTAATCTTTAAATTGTGAGGGCCAGCCAATTAGAAGGATGTTATAAAAGGAAGGAGAAGGAAGCCTTTTTTTTTAAGAAAGTCTATGAACTGACAGACTGCAAGAAGACCCAGAATAAGATAAACTCTTTAGAACCATGAATCATACAAAACTACTCTAGTAAAGTCCAAGAATGCAAACATAAAGTTTGAAACAAACATAATAGGCCTCCCTGTCACTGAATACACTGTTCTAACTAAAAAAAAGAAATCTGAGCAGTTTTGTGAGACACCGTGCTATTTTTCAGGTTGTTTTAAAGGGTTAATGTAAATTTCCCTGTTTTGCTTGTTCTGCCATGAACAAACTTCCATATTGAGGAGGTACAATGAGTCACAGTAAAGCCGAACATGCCAGCAGGCAGAGTGACCTGAAACACCGAAGGAGACAAGTGTGAACGCGGAGCGAGCAGACACACACATCTCTCCCTCTTCCTCTCTGCTGCTTGGTGCTTGGCAGACAATTTTCACATTTGGCAGCATAATATGTTTCAAGTAAACAATAAAAAACACGGAGCTATAACAAAAAGACCAAACAAACAAGCCTAATCTCTGTCAAATTATGCCATCTGTCTACTATGACAACATCTTTTCATGTGTGTTAATGCGTGTTTGTCACTTGTCTATCAGCAAAAACGCTGCAGACTGCAGGAAACATACTGAAGTTGCATGTATCTGATTCTTATCTGTTTATTCAGTTTAAAGCTACGGATTTCTTTTTAAGCAACACAATCTATTGGACTGTGTCCTTTTAGACAGACTCTTTGTAAGGTTTGCGTATGGGCATCCTCTTTAAACAACGTAATTTAGTTTTGGATTCCACGCAGACAATTTCCTTCTATTCAAGATTTAATCACCACAGACTGAATTACTTTACCAATTTGTCTGGAGTCTTGTGAGCAACATGTATCCTCTCTGAAGGTTAACTAAAGCCTTGAACACCTTCGGGCTGTTTTTAGGAGGAACTACCACATTACCACTGGGCTTTTCAGAAACAAACACATCAGCCTGAAGCGGCTCCGGTAATTCAGCCCTCGCACTGCATTCTGAGTGTGAGGCCAAATAAGGATTCAGATCAAGTGTGAATTGCTGTTATACTCTTCTTCATTCTTCCTTGTACCTGTGCACATTCACTGTCACCTTGTGATTTGGTTGAATACAGTTTGGGGTTCATTTTTCTTTGGGACAGTCATAGATTTGAACTATTTCTGGTGATTCTGTCCACAAATATTTTATGTACCAAGTACCTGGTAACAAATAAATTACTAATTAGTCTCTCATCCAGCTCATCAAGTCTTAGACTACAGTCCTTGTTCCTTGTTAGGATCACTGTGCATGAACCAGAACCAGTTATCCACCTGCCACAGGTTCAGCTTTTAGAGGCCAGTCCAGCTTACGACAGATCTCAGAACAGAAGGAGGACTACCATCATCATCTTCAGTCCAGGATAGTGGAGGCAGGCAGCTAATTAATAATAACATTCTCATGACGTCGAGTTACTGTTTAGTCACTTCCTGTTTTGTTTTGAAATCTATGTTTGTTATGAACATCAGTTACTCCTTTCTTTACCTGCCTTTTCATGCCACAACTCCTACATAACTCCTCCAAGTTGACTGATTGCCCGATTTGTTATCACCATTCAGGATTTCATGCCATTTCTTACTGTCCCCTGTTTTGGCGACTTATGAATGTTTTTGTTTGTTTTATTTGTAATTTATGCTTTTTTTGAGCATTTGCCTATCTTGATAGATTTGTTTCCGCTCTCTAACTAAACACCTGTATATAACCAGTTAAAAGTTCTGAATTTTGGTCTCCTGTGTCTCCCTGTGGGAAGGTTGCTCTTGCCTCCCAGCAAGAAAGTGCTGTGTTTGAATTCACCATCTGGCTAAGGCCTTTCTGTGCGGAGTTTGTATGTTCTCCCTGTGTCTTCTTGGGTACTCCAGATTACTCCCACAGCCAAAAGATTTGCATCTAGTGGGGCTAGGTTAATTGGTGAGACTAAATTGCCCAAAGGTGTGAATGTGAGTGTGAATGGTTGCATGTCTCTCTGACTGGCAACCTGTCCACGGTGTGCCTCTCGCCTCATGGCACCTGGGCTAGGCTCCAGCTCCCTGTGATCCTGAATTGGATAAATGAAAGAACACGGATGGATAGATCCCTATAAACAAACAGTTATTCCAATTCATTCTGACTGGGGATGAAGACACTTTGTTTAAAACCCTAAATGAGAACCTGAAATGGTTTGTCAAATCTTTTGTTAAATGTTGGTAGATTTCACTTGATAATGAAAACTTTGACCTTCTGATGGCCCTACAGGAGAGTCACCAGACAAAATTTGCCTTACGGGAATTATAATTACCACTACCAAATTTTATGGCAATACATCCATTGAGTGCGGCTATATCCTGTAATAAGTGGAAACTAAAAACTTTAAACATAAACCAGCTTTCAGCCAATATTGATCTGTTTTACTCAATAATGAATAAAAAATTGAGGGAATCACCAGTAGAATGTATACTTTGGGAATATTATGAAAATCTTACCAAATTTGATGGCTGTCTCTATCAGATATTTATTTTCAATTAAAAAAAAACTCTGCTGTGGCCTCTTCACAATAAAAGTCTTTGTTGTTCTCCAGTGGAGTTGTACTGTAAAGGAAATGTTGACTGAGTATTAGCCACATGAAAAAAAGCTGCGTGAAGTGTTGAGTTTAAAACAAAAAACAGTCAAATGTTTCTAAAGTTGCCTGAGAAACTTTGTACAACTCAGAGAATGGTGGGATTCTTCTCGCTTTTATATCAATGGTTGCTGCAGTAAACCCACAATATTTGATTACAATGACTATTATTGATTCCCGTGGCTCATGCTAACATTTATCCCAAGTTAACAAGAAAACAAGTCTAATCTCTCACATTTCATGTTATCTGATGTATCTTCATCTCTCCCACAGCCCTTCACAAAGCATGAGCATGTGTCTCCATGTTGGGGGAATGTACATTTGAAGCTATGAAGAACATTTAAATAAAAGTGACCCAAGTTTTAAAGGCAGACATAATGTCAGAAAGGGGCTTTTAACATTTATTTTAGTTCCTGCTTTCTTAGTCTTTCCTGCAATCGGTTGCTCAGAACATATTGTTTAACTCAGTTAATCACATAGAGTACAAACATATGGCATTTTTGAATGTCTCTATGGTATTGTAGGAGTTTTGCAGACTTTTGCTAGTTTGCATTTGTTCCAGTAGAAATCCAGAGATGAACTCAACTGTTCCCACCATCAAATCTAATTTGCACAAAACTTCCTACACGGTCGTGTTGATCGGTTTTTATGCGCTCCGGTTAATTTTTCTATTGCAAGTTCAGTGTGATCTAACCAGAGCGCTACACTAACAAGCTTTGTTTCTTCAGTGATTGTTATTAGTAAGATCCATGTCACATTTTCCCACAGTGGGTAAAATGCCATTTTTAAATTCTCTGAGTCTGTCTCAGGAATCTGGTTTCACAGCACATCTGACAAAACTATTCTGACTGTGACCTGCTTTTAATGCCTCTTAATCATCTACCGGTGCTACGCCTTAGCTGAACAACTTCCAGAGCAAGTAGTCTGAAACATCATGTTGGATTTAAAGAACCATAGTCACCTAGGAGGCAATGACCAGTTAATTCATAGAGTAATTATATGTGTGCAGATTTGACAACAGAGCAGAGGAGTGGATATGGAGCGGGAGAAGATAATTAGAGAAAAGAAAGGGAAAAGATGTAGGTGTGGAGGAATAGAAAGGAGAGAGAGGAGGGAGGAAGACATGTGTGGGAGTCTTGTGGCAGGTGTTTTTGAAAACACTGAAAGCAGATGATGAAAAGAGGCTGTCACATTTCCTAACAAGGTTTCCCTGCCTTCCTTCCTTCCCTCTTGCTCCCCTGTGTCAGTGAGTGTGTCCACACCTCCCTGGCCATTCTTCTTTCTCTCTATCCCCTTGCCTTCGCCCGCGGTGTTGAGCCAGAGTGACGCCTCAGCACTGCAGTGTAATCTCTGGCCCTAGAGCTGCTTCGTATGAGCCAACCAATTGAATGTAGTGCTCAGAGCAAGAAATGGCCATCCACTGGCTGCCTTTATGCTACACAAAGCCCACCCTCCCTCCTGTCTGTGATGCTTAGTGTGCTCATTACAAACCACGGGCTCTATCCTTCAATACCTGCAGGTGTGGATTTGCCAGGTGTTGCCCTGACTGTTTATCACAAATGAGATAAGACCGTATGTGACCAGGAAACTGGAACATCATTGATCAGTATTGGTTTTGACAAATGTGGTTCTTTGATGATTCAAAATAACACATGGGAGCGCGATTTTGACTTTTGGGAGTAACAAAACGCTATTGATGTGGTTAAAAGCTCCCAAGGCTAGAGCGTAAGGTTTTGGATCCAGTTTTGTCTTCATATTTTGTATATCTTCATCTCTGCACGCATCAGGGGAGAAAAGGCTGCAAGCGCCGCAGCAGTCAGTCGATAAAGACAAAAAACAGTTAAAAATATCTGACACCGTTTCATTGATGTCAATAAATAACCTGTTTTGTTCAAAATATTTTTAAAACATGAATTGATCACATGGCCATAACGCATTGACTGTGGGAATGCAGCGATTATTCAGTTAACTGACTCACAGAAAACTGATTTGATGACTGACTAAGAGTTGAATTTTACACAGAGAGGATTTGTTATGTTTGGTCTAAGGAAAGAGTAACAGTGACAGTGCGATATTACTACAATGCAATATCATACATTCACCACAATAAGGATGGCATCACAATACAGCAATTCTACAACACATGCAAGCTATTCATCTGTGATGCATTACAATTACTGTGTAAATAAACAAGAAAATATTGTATTTTTTGCTTAAAAAAAAGCTAAACTCCACATATTACTTAAAGCTGACTCATTATGCTCATTTTCATTTCCATATTTTTATTCTTGGAGTCTAATTGGCAAACTTTGCATGGTTCCCCTTTCAACCATGGGGCTCAACTCATCATGTATCTGAAACAAGCTGTTTTAGCTCCCTCTTTCAGGCAACTGTCTTCTGATTGGCTGCCCCTCATATGCAGAAAGTTTAAACAGCATGTGGGTGGAGCTTTTGTTCTCACAGCCAGATCTGTGCCTGTGATTACCCTATCCGGAATACCTGCTCTCAGTGACATCATCCAGAGTCAAGAGTAGAAAAATACTGTTTGAAACAGTGTGTAGAACCGTTTGAACTTTCATCTCACAGGGATTAGAAATGCACTGACCTCATTATGTAACAGTATATCTAAAACAGTTTCTTCTTTTCACCACAAGCTGACTTCAGCTTCACCTTCATTCATTTGATAAGCACCACTATGAGGTGTCATGAAGCGGTGACTCTGGTGAGTCAAACTGATGGCATGTTTTAATAAAAATAGTGAAATATTTTGCTGTGTTTTTATTGCATTCCTGTAATTTCCACCTTATGATAAACTGGTTGGCAAAAATTTAGAGTGTTTATCAGATGACGCAAAAATATTTGAGAAAACAGGAGATTTTGCACTGATCTCCGATGTTTTACGGACCACAGTGTGAATCAGAAAAGCAGTCGATAGCTGCAGGTCACCTGTTGACTTGGACCTGATTGGAATGGCTGCAGAAGAAGAGGGATGGTTTACAGGACTGATGTGGACTCATACTCTGTAACCATAAAATTTCACCTTTTTTTTTTAACATGTACATGATTTCAAAAAATAACATGCTCATTTTCTCTATGTGTGGCTTAAAACAAGCCCATGGGGATAAAATACAGAATTATGGTGTAAAACCCACAGAAATGCATCTTCAGGAATACATTTAACGCTAGAAGCAAGTCATACTAGTAGGCCTTTAATTTTCTAGGAACATGCACATGCACTGCATTCACATGTTTGTTCATTATTAATAATCCTGGAGCTCCTTTCAAACAAGCCCAGCCAGCCAACAGTGGCCTCTCCACCAATCTGCTCAGGTTTTGATAAACCACCTGGGAGTTCATGTGGAGCAAAAAAAAAACAAAAAACCTCACCCTCTGTGTGACACAAATAACAGCAGTGTGTGTGTGTGTGTGTGTGTGTGTGTGTGTGTGTGTGAGAGAGAGAGAGAGAGAGAGAGAGAGAGGGAGGGAGGGAGAGGAGTCTGCTATTGTGTGAGAATGTGAATTAGGTCAAATGTTTGCTTGCAACAACGACTAACCATGCCCCTGTGAGGAAGAACGCTGAAGCCCGTGTGGAAGAGGCTCCGTCTTTATCCGTGGCTGCCCCTGCCTCTGACACCATGTGACACTTTCCTATCTAAATCAAATCAGAATAAATATAATTTCTTGAGATCATATGATTGCCATCCTATCCGAAGTGAGATGCTGGAGAAATGGTGTGTTCACACTCAATGATAGCCCTCCACGAAGGGCTTGCGTGCGTGTGCGTGTGTGTCTCAGGGGAGGTTGTATGTATGTGGCTCATGATGGCACCCACTCAGCAGGCATCAATCACACACTGGGTGACGGTTCGGCTGCTGGCTGCCCGGCTCGCCGCGCCTCGGGCTCTGGCAAACTGCAGTGATGCTGGTGACAACAGGTTACAGACCACGACTCAAATGAAGCCGCCTGAGACCGAAAACCATGCAGGGTGTGAACGGGGATTATTTAGGGTGGGAGGAGAGGTGGAGGAGGGGGTTAAAAAAAAAAGAAAGGAAAAGATGCCCGTGCAGGTAGATGCTATAGGCGGTTATAGAAAATGAAAAATGTCAGGCTGATGCAGTGTGCTTTTATCGTGGTTTCATTAAGCCTGTAGCTCGACACATTTTCCCCTCCCTTTTCTTCTCCTCTAATCATCAAAGCGTTTCCGATTAATTCCAGATCAAAGTGAGGATGGTAAAGGATGTTGTGTCCCTGAGGTCAGGTGGTAACTTACACGACAAAGCCTGTCCCCACAACCACCCCAACCCCCTGCTCCCCAATTTATGAGTGCTAGAAGGGAGGGAGACGGGGGGGGCTGCAAATGTTAAGGGCAGGTCTAACGTTAATGATCTTTTACGCTTTACAGTCAGAGAAAAACGCGTGATCGGAGGTTTCCTGTGCCCCTCTCTCGTCAAATCACTACTAAGTTCTCTGATGAATCCCTTAATTTCGGGGTTTAAATCACGCAAGACAGCGCAGTAACGCTGAGGTGGGTGCACACGTGTCTCTGTGTTAAATGTATGACCAGGGGAAATGAAGAAACGGCAGGTCGGGCACAAAGAAAAACAAGAAAAGCTGCACAGGCTACAGACCCTGGATGAATTAAGGATGTTGAGTACGTGTGCAGCTTATCGAGCTGAATGTATAGGCACATATCAATGACCCCCTCCGTTCACTCTCTCCCTCCTCCCTCTAGCCTGTCACACAGCCACGGGCACAGAGCATTGCGCTATAGCATCCCTGTACTCACTCAGCTCAGAGATTTTGGGAGGCGCAGCGTCAACCCCGGTCGCTTCCTTCAGTGTCTGCTTCCCCTCGGACCGGCCGCTCCCCGCGAGCATAATCAATCAAAGGCGATAACTTGGCTTCCCTGGGCTTCACAAAACAGGAATGCACCATATTGCATGTGGCATCCTTCGAGCGCCCGCTGACCCCCTCGTGCGCCCTGTCCGTGCTCCTCTGCTCCCCAGCCAGAAGGGAGGCTGGGAAGTGTTAACCTGCCTTTCTGCTGCCGCGGCTGTATCTCCACTATTATCTCCAAGGGCCAGGTTTTTCCTCCACAGTTCCTCAAGCCCCCTCCATCTCTGCTCGCATCCCCTCGACTCAGCTACTGTGCTTCCATGTGACACAGGCAGAGCTGGAGACCCCCCAATTATGATTTTTGTCTTTTTGATTCTAGCGTCATCCCTCGGCAGGACTTGGAAGTGCAGGTGGAGGTCTAATATATGGAGTGACCCTGGTTTAGGAGAGTTTAGGAGGGTTTCTCAGTCCCCGCTGTAAAATCAAATCAACTGTTCTGTTAATTCTGATGCAGAAAAAATACAATTTGATCTGTATCAAAAAATTTGGAAAATTCAGTCAGAATTATAGGCAGTGTACTGCTGAAAATGAACAAAAATAGTTTAAGGAGTAGTATTTTTGTCCTAGAAATAACTTTTCTGGGGTTGTTTAAATGGCTGATGTGTGAGGCAAGGTTTATGGCAGCCTACAGTAAAACCTTTAGTGTCAGAAAAACTGCCATGACCAATTAAAAAAAAAAATTGAACCTGGACGTGAGATCACACATAAGCTTCACAGCACGATCATGACCCCTATAAGAGCCTCTAGTGTGAGATACATTTACCCTATCCACTTAGGTGAAAGCTGGAGTCAGGGCAGATGAGATGAGATATATCACATTTCCCTAAAGTTATTTTATGTCCAATGTGATGTAATAAAGGGATATAAAAGTAGGCCAGTGCTGATTTTTCACTGGTGTAGTTTGGCGTAACCTTGCCATACGCAGACCTTTGAAGCCTTTACCTCTACCACTACCACCACCTGCTGGTGTTTTCAGAGCATTGTGGAAGCGCAACCGCCTATCAGGGCGCAGTAGACGGTGTTGCTGTATGAGGGTCGATCCGTGCCACAGAGGATCGTAGAGGACAGGTACTTTAACACTGGAAGTTCAGTAAATGTCCTGAAATAGTTCATATGTCTAATTGTTGTTTGTGTTTCATACTGGCACTAAGCATATATTCTAAACTCATCTTCCTCAAACCCTGACCAATTTGTTTTTGCAGCTTCTTTAAGCAGAGATTTTTAGAAATCTGACTGACATCCTGCTTTTGATTAGAAAAAAACATGAGTGAGTGGGGGGAATGAGAAATAACGCATCAGAGTTTATTTTACACTTTTAAAATGTGCCAGTTTTTATCTAAAACTAAGATGTAACAAGGTTAGTCTAAGTGCTATTTTACTTTAAGCTGTGTTAATATTATTTTACTATTTTAGTTATACAAACTGAATTATTACAGCATCTGCTGTGCTTCGGTTCTGGCAGAAGAACATTGATTTATAAGGAAAGGAATGAAAATTGCTTCCTGGATGAACCCAGGGGCAGTACCAGGGTACAGTAGAAGATAAATATGGATTATTTTGAACTTTGAATCATACATATCATATTTTATGTGGGCTTGTTATGGCAATTTTTTTGTTTTTTATTCTTGGCCTCTACAAAAATGATTTTGCTTGCTTTACAGTATATTTTAGGCTACAATGTGAAGCCGTTCAGTCCTGGGAGGAAATGTAAATCCCTTTGGAGTTGTCTCAGGAACGATATTCGCTTAAAAAAAAAATGTCTGCCAAATCAAATATGCAGAACTACCCCCTGTGGTTCCCTCTAAGCTGAGCAAGTGAGCAATCGCGCACCGCTCACATGGTCTCCCCACACAGAAAATCTGCGCTTCACACACAAAAAAATCCAGTCTGAATTGGAATTAAAGTAAATACATGTATTTATTTTATTTCGCTGATTTTCTGTGCGCGGAGACTGTGTCAGCAGTGCACGATTGCTCACGCGCTCAGCTTAGAGGGAACAGTTGGGGCTCTTGCTAATAAGAGAGAAGCTACAGTCAGCTTTAATACCCTGTATTTGAACATATTGCAGTGCGTATTGCATTGCTTTTTGTTTGTTTGTCTGTGGTAGAAAGTACCATTTACTTTGCTGTTGTCTGCTGGGGTTGCAGGATCAGTGCCAGAGATGCCAACAGGATCAGTAAACTAATTCAAAAGTCTGGAACCATCATTGGCCAGAATCTGGAGGCATTTGAGTCAGTGGGGGACGGGAAGTCACTGAACAAACTGCTCTCCATCATACCCACTCCATGCCCCACAACAGAGACAGCAGAGCGCCGTCTCCCTCAGACTTATTCAACCCCGTTTCAGGAAAACGTTCCCACCTTCTTTTCAAAACCGTCAGGCATAAGATTCCCACACTTTTAGAAGCTGTTTCTCAGATTTATAGTGTGTATATTATTTATTCATACATTTTTTACTACCCTTCTGCACAATATCATCCTTACTTTGTTTTTAACTTTTCTTTAATGTAACCTCATTTTCATTTTTTTCCATTTTTGTTTGTTGTTGTTTTTTTTAAATCATTGTCACAATATAAGATACTTACTAAGCATCTGTAGTACTTTTATTTTACCTAAACATACCACAGGTACGCAAATAAATGTGCAATTGTATCACATAATCTACATATGGCATATTGTGCAGTTTACAAGGTTGAGGTTGAACCGAATTGAAAACCAACAGCAACATGAAATAAATTCAGCAGTAAAAGATGAAAACACAGTCTTTAGTTTCACTGAGCATCACAGACACTTTCTGCCAAAAAAACATAAATAAAAGTTTGGTGTGGCACTATTCACCCTTTATACATCAGCCTGCCCTCCCCCTTCTCCGTAGTTTTCGCGCAGCAGCCTCCGTGTTTTACTCGTGGAGTAAAGGTACCTATCCTCACAGAGTCTGCCACTGGGTGTGAAGCTTCACAGGTCTGGTTGTTGTGTTTGAGCGGATTAAAAAAATCCTTATTATCCACATCCGCATCCCCACAACCACCATCATCAAACCAGCGGGGGCAGGGAGCAGAAGAAGAAGATGGGGTGCTGCTCGGCGCGATGCATGTTGATCCTCCTGTGTTGTTTGCAGCTGGTAAGAGCTTTTCGCACATGATGCTTCGACATAAACACATCTGTTTAGGCATCAGGCCAGCTGCTGTCTATCCCCTTTAATAACTCAAAGCAACCTAAAAGAAAAAAAAAAACAAAAAACAACAACAACAGTAAAAATGCTATTTAAAACTGCATGTTAATGACTGTTATGCTTGAATCACTTCTTTGTTGTTTATAGTGAAAGAAGTTCCGCAGCATTAAGCTTTAAGGCTTCAGTTTTTTAAGACTATATTAAATTTAAGACCATTTAAGGCAAACTGCGACCAAAAGCAGGTTAAACGGTTTTACGCATGTTCTTTCATTCACATTAACTCAGGTTTGTCATTCAATTATACCGCAACAGTTGGTAATAAATTAAATTATAGTAAAATTTGCTAGTAAAATCTAAAAAGCAGAAACGCCTAAACGAACTGCTCTTTTATTATTTGCCGTTTTGTTTTTTGTTTTTGTTTTTTCTGTTAGCGCTTCTGTTACAGTAAAGTCAATTTATTTGGGACTTTTGTTCGGCCAGTTGAAAATGACTGCATTATGGCATTTTATAGATCAAACAATTAGCAGAATAGGCTGTAATGAAAATAGTAGGCTACTACTTGTTGACTGCAGCAAATCATTTATTGTCTGTAGCTGGCGATTTTAGTTGAAGGTGGAGAATAGCAGTGACCGCCCACCACCACAATAAAGGGCTGCTCCCACTTTGCCCTCCTCCTCTGTGTTTCCCACCCTGCCCCCTGTATGGCTCACTGGGACTGTGACCCCAGAGGACATGACACTATAAACCAGCTGTATTTCCCTGAGAATGCTTTGTCTCCCATGGCTCAGTTGCCTTGGAAACTTATAAAAAAACAAGGTCAAAGATCATGGTCTAACAAGACATGGCAGCATAGGCTCAACTGACACTCACTGCTGTTTTAAAATGCACCTAAAACTATTCCCTGCAGATTACAGCGCTGGAGAGGCAGGTGTTTGACTTTCTGGGGTACCAGTGGGCTCCCATCATGATCAACTTTTTTCACATCATCATGGTTATCCTCGGCCTGTTTGGTGCAGTCCAGTACAGATCACGCTACGTTATAATGGTAAGTCTAATACTGAGTGTTGTCTCATAAGAAACAGCTGTTTTTGGTTTGTCATTAAAAAGTTCATTCAAGCTTCCCCTCGAGAAAATCACTACTGTGAATACACAGTAGTCAGGCTCAATATAATGACTGCTAACTTTATTTAGACTTACCAGCATCTCCACAGCTACTTAAATCACATGTTCTATCCGGAGTTGGCAGCAGACCATGTGAACTAGAATGGCAACCAACTTTGACAGAGGAGTCAGAAGAGTGCAAAATTATCTGTCTTATATTTCAGGGGCAATGCAGGAGGGAAAACAGGAGAGACAAATTCTCAAGGTGCAGAAACAGGTCAATGAACTCCCCACACACTGGGGCAGCTGACTGTGAGCACACAATATCTTCAGCACAAAGGTCGCGCTTTAAAACAAGCAGCTCAAGCTGACCTCTTTTTAGTTTAAGAGACATCAGGGCTACTTTCCAAAATCTGACCTGCACATGCCCTGTCCGCTCAGTGTGCTCCTTTGTCATACTGGTTTCCACAATTGCTGCAGAAACAGTAAGATACTCTGGACCAAATAATTAAATTGTGATAGCACTGCAGAAACATATCTGTGGTATGGTTGTTTAAGTTTTTCATTACCAAACTGTTATGAATCAGTGTAACTTACAGCTGAAGTATATCAGGAGAGATCAGCTGAGTGGGCACAGTGACATTATTGGTCTGGTCTGAACTGCTGAGGCCTCTCTATTATGCCAGTGCTGGTTATATGTGAGATATATATGAGTGGCCACTTCCAGGACTGTCACAGCCAATAACCAAAACGAGTCCTACTAGAAAACAACATACTAGAAAAAACCACTAAAAATGGCTTTTACACTTCCTTTTTGCGAGAATTACAAAAACAAGATGCAGTTTGTTTAGTGCAGATTGAAGTGCCATCTAGGCTATTTTCTCCCATTTTCATGTCATTGTACCAAGCTAAGCACTAAAATGATCAGTATTTTGTGCACAGACAGAGGTTTTCAGCCTTTGTTTTCCATCTAATGTATGACAAAAAAGGGTAAGACATTAAAAAAACATAATGAAACGCATTAAAAAAAAAGCCCCACAAAATATCAGGTAGTCAGTGGAAAAAAGCAGCTCCCTGTGCTATGCAGCATTAACTGTGCTGGTAGTGTATGGTATGGTGTTTGTGACCAAAACCATCTCATGTTAAGTTTGTAAGAAAGCTGAGTAGTATAATAACACCAAGCAGCAGTGAGCTGGGTTGATCTGGATTATTCTGAATATGTCATGGTAGTATAACTTTACTGTATTTAACAGGAAAAAAATATACTTTTTATTATATAGTGATATATATATATATTATATATATTTCACTACATCTCAGCCCAGCCAACCTCAACCTCAGTCCATGCTGTCATTCCCAGTGTAATTCTGTGCTTCTGTTTTCTCAGTACCTGCTGTGGACGTTGTTGTGGGTTGGCTGGAATGTCTTTGTGAGCTGTCTCTACCTGGATTTGGGAGGGCTTTCAAAGGTAACTTTAATGGTCACGTACGTGTCAGGTAATTAGGGACCAAGAGCTCCTAAATACAATGTTCAGCTCTGTCCATGTCACTCCTTTCAAGATCTGCCTCCAATTACAGACTCAGAGTGACAGACACCTTACAGCAATGTGCCTATCCTCAGCCGCAAACAAGTCTCGTTAAGTTGTTTATGTACACTGTCTGCACTCGGGAAGACCAAACCCTAATTATAATTTAGGGAAATGACGACAAATTTTAAAAATAAAACTGTTCAGAATAATTTTCAAGTCAGTCATTCAGTCTTGTCTTAGCTCCCCGAATACAAACAATGCTGTATTTTAATTTTAATGATGGTTGGATTCTGTTCACTGATTTAAAATGTAACATTTGGTCGAGTAAAACATTTCTTAGGCATTTCTCCTGCAAATCATCCCTGTGTAGTGTTTTTATAACTGGATCACTACAGTTATGCAATATTTATTAGTGTTAGTCTGTTATATCAATTTGAAGATGTAGCAATGCAAGTCTCATCAGCTAGTTACATCACAGCAACTCAATGTATGTACACATGTAGACATGGTCAAGACAATATGGTCAGAGGAGAATAAGCAGACTGCTTTGAGCTGGTAGAAGGGCAACAGATACTTAAATAACCACTTGTTACAACCAACATATCGTTAGCTTCATAGCATAAGTGCCTAAGTCATTTTTTTGTGTTTTCGGAAAACAAGAAAAAACTAATTTTCTAAATTTTAGAAAATTAGTTTTTTCTTGTTTTCCGAAAACACAAAAAAATGACTTAGGCACTTATGCTATGAAGCTAACGATATGCAGAAGAGCATCTCTGAATGAACAGCATGTCGAACCTTGAAGCAGAAGACTACACCAGGTGTCTTTCTTGTCAGCTAAGAACTAGAAAATGTGGGTAAAATTCACACAGGCTTACCAAAACCAGACAACAGAAGATTAGAAGAATGTTGCCCGTCTCTATTTGTGCCAAAACATTCAGAATAGGGTCAGAATTTAGGTTAAACAATATGAAGGCATAAATCCATCCTGCCTTGTATTAGCGGTTCAGGTTGCTGATGGTGTAGTGTTATGGGTGATATTTGTTTTGGCACACGTTGACCCCTTATTGCCAATTTACCATTGATTAAATAAATAAATAACAGCCTACCGGTTCTGTATTAGTGTTGACCATGTCCATCCCTTTCTGACCACAGTGTAAACATCTTCTGATGGCTGCCTCCAGCAGGATAACGCACCATATCACAAAACTCGAATTCATTTTGCTGTACTTAAACAGTGAACAGATCACAAAAAGAGCACCTTTGGGATGTGGTGGAATGAAAGCAGCAACTGTGTGATGCTATCATGTTAAAATGGGCTAAAATCTCTGAGGAATGTTTCCAGTAACTTGTTAAAGTTATGCCATGAAGAATTAAAGCTGGGCTGAAGGCAAAGGTCAACCTAGCACTGGCAAGGTGTACCTAATAACATTTCTGGTAAGTATATGCTTGTAGCAACACTCTTACGTGACTGGTGCATAAAGAAAAAGGACAAAAAGTAAAATTAGGTGAAATAAGACTTGGTTCTTAGTGCATGGATTCATTTTCACTAAAGTCAGAATAAAATTTGTACTGCATTGAGTTTTTTATGTTTTCTGAATTTTATGGATATCGTGCTGCTTTTCAGGCTTAATAATATTAACAAAATGAACTACCACCTGTCTGTTTGCTCCCTTAAGGATGGTGATATTCTGTCCTTCGGTGTATCCTCACATCATTCCTGGTGGAAGGAGAATGGGCCGGGATGTGAAAGCGAGAGACTTCCCTCTGCTGGATGGAAGAACCAGCAAAATCCAGAGCTTACCACAGTGCTGAGCTGCTGGCTGGAATACCAGTACATAGAAATCCTGCACTGCATCATCCAGCTCCTCGTATCAGTGAGTCTTTAGTTTTGTTCAACACTTCATTTAACAAGACTTTAAAATGGCACCATTGCCAGATGTCGCCTTCACAGCAAGGGCTGGTTAAAAAGTGAAGTGGAAAAGCTGTCTTTTCATGTCATTAGAGCTACACTGGTCCAGAAATCCATAAAAATAAGATCAGCATATGTCACCCCATGACAACAAAACCAAATAATAAAATATGGCAAAAATAAAAAAACATGTGTCATTACCCCAAAACATATGGACATAACTGTATTTATATATTATTTAATGTAATTTTAATTGTAATAAGCATGCATCAGTACACCTGGGAACTAACTGTTGCTTAGCAACAGAATCTGTAGATTAGTAACAGAGCCGATATTTAAGAATAACATCATATTATCACACTAGAGAGAGCTGGTACACACTTTCAGTTTGTGTATTATCTACAAAAGTGAATTACTGCGATATTAGGTCCTGTTTTTGAAAACATTTTGAAGCCAGTTCAATCTGCTGGGTGTGATTTATTTCAATTTTGTTCAATTAATGAATCTATATTTATGTCTTTTTTATACAGCACTTCATTTCTCTGGTCAACACTGGGTTAATTTACGTGACTAAAAGTAGTTTTAATTATTCACTTCAAACAGAATATAAAAAAATTGACGGTTGAGTCTGTTTGATATCAGATGTCGTGGAGACTCCAGCGACACTTAAAGTAATAGAAATCTTTATTAAGTGACCAACGTGTTTTGGCTTGTGGCCTTCATTAGGGGATCGTGATGAAGGCCTACTTCCTTACACAAAGTATTGCATATGCTAAATACACTCAACACAGCAGCTCTGCCATAAATTCTGCTTTTATAAAGCGTGTTTTTCAGGTTTGCTTATGATTAGGAAAGGTTGTGTTTTTGAAATACCAGTAGTTGGTTGTGGTGTTCTGGACTCTATTACAAGTGCCTTAATTTCATTGATAAAAAGAAAAATATAGTTCTGATTTGATTTTGGCAGATCTTCACTTCTAGTAATGTCCTCACACATTCCTATTTTGGCCACTTGCACTTGTGCATTTGTGATCTCCTTCTGTGCTCAACTTAAATTTCATGTTGACGAAGGAGATACTGTAGAATTGCAAGAAGCCGTACTTGCAAGTAGAGCAGGTGGACAAAGATTAAGTCTTCAGTGTTCCACATATTGAAGACCCAATCACTATTAAACTGAAGACTTGGTCACATGATGTCATCTGATTGGTTGATATTTTCTCTGTATTATTGTGGGGTCCTTACCGTACAGTATAAATCGCCTTAAGGTGTATGCTGGTGAACATGTATATTAAACTGTGTTTGAGTCCTTATGTGAAAATTTCTTCTAGCTGATGAACGTCAGTTGGAGAAAAAGGTTTTGATTTAATAAAGTCATGGCAAGCAAGACGTAGTGCAGAGGTTACAATGAATCTTTTCAATACAAATTCTTTCTTCCTACGCACCTGTTGTTCATTCAGGTGTGCAGAGATTTTAAACCATTAATATCTAAAACAATTTCTTGTGTAATACTTTAAGAGTACATCTACAGACAGATAGTTTCTCTGAGTAGGAATGCAAATAAGATAGCTAACTGGAATTAAGAGGTAAGTTATTATTTACATGTTTTTTTCCCACTAACTCATAAAATCTTTCGCTGTCAGCAAAGTCTACTGTCTGCTTTGTGTTTTGCGTTAATATTAAAAGACAGAAGATTTTAAAATATGCTGTTCTTTTCTTATGCTTTTGTGATAATCCTACAGCTCCCGGGATTTGTTTACGCCTGCTATGTGGCCAGCACATTTTTAGAAGAGGATGACAGCTGTAAGTGTCCTCCTGATCAATGTCAAATACAATCTCATTTTCTTACATTATCTAATTTATTGGATAACAATCCATTACAAAGAAACGGCATGTTTATGCACGCCTTTCATTCATTTTGTGTTATTTTTATTTTAGTTAACTTCATTGGTGAGTTTCACCATCCATCCAAACCCTCTAAGTTGCTTTTCTAGTGTTACAATCCATTGGTAAGTAGCCCACATTTGTTTGCACTCATGTAAGCTAAGCTAGGCCCATCCTCTGCTGCACAATGTATTTCCTATGTTTTTTGTTTTTTAGATTATAAATAAAAAAAGTGAAAAGCTGAGAAGGAACTAAGGAGAAGATCAAACAACTCTGCAGAGTCTGATAGTGCGTCATCTCTGGCATGGTCAATAACACTCACACAGAGATGCCTAATCTCACTGTGTACGTTTCTCACACTGTGGCCTGATTCAAAAGAGGAGTCTCCAGTCTATTGCATGTTGATATTTTCTAGTTTTATCCAGTAGTAACGCTACCTCTCAGCATGTATGTGAAAGACTGTTTGTAGGTCCGGCTGTCTGACAGAATACTGTGGTTCTAAATTTGTACATATGCAGCTGGTGTTCTTTCTGATGTTTCATAAAATGTACAAATTATTATTATGTGTAATTTCAATTAGAAGAATGGAGGACCCCAACGTGTATAATGTGTGTCATCAGTCAGTGAAATAAACTGTGTCCACAATTTGCCTTATAGTGGATTACTGCTAATGTTCATCTAATGTTTATTCATTCATATACAGTTTTACCTCCATTAGTGAAATGTAAGTACATTTACTCAAGTACTGTACATTACTTAAGATTACATTTCTTTGTGTGCAATTTTGTCTCGTGTACAGTTTAGATTAAAAAAAATGTTGCACTTGTTACACTGACAGCTTTAAATGCTAGCTACATTTAAAATTAATTATGTGAACTTATAAAATATATTTCATTTATCACCAAACTACCAAACAGTAATAAAAGAAAGAGTAAAAAATAAAGTAATATAGCAATGTTGTCATTTACTTTAGATGATTTTGTACCACTACTGCACAAAAAAGCATTATGAATGTAAGTGACTGTAATTTGATTATTCATCCCATATTTTGTAAATTATTATTATTAAACATAGTGTTATAGTATAGTGTTCTTGGACCATTTTCAGTTGATTTTTTTTTTATTTATTTGTTGTTTGCTTTCAAATATTTTTTCCCCTTAAGAGATTTCTTTTGTCATACTGGATTGTATTTTATTGAGCTACAGTTTATACTGTTCCACTTATTTAGGTTATTTTGATATATTTCGTGTTTAAAGATAAGATATACTGATTTATTTATCCCCAAAATTTGGACCTACAGAAACATTTTTGTCATGCATATTTCAGGATTCCGTAGCATTATTTCAAATGGTTCGACTTAACTAAAAACGTCCGAGAAAAATCCAAATAACCTCTGAGAAAAATTTTAATTTAAATTAACTTAATTTTTGACCTATGATTAGTAAGTTTTAAAAAAAAATCGGTGGCAGAAAAAAAACTTCCATTCCTAGAAAAAATGTTTTCTTAAAAAGCCGTAATTAGAATTAGATTCCATACCTTTAAGAAATGATTTAATCAATTAATTTATTTTTAATAAAAAAAATGAAATTAATGACATGAGCTCGCTCTGCTACTTCTGCTGCCAGGTAGCCTTGGACGCGTTTTTCACATTAGCGGCGTCATTTCCGCCCCGCAGACCCCGGATGAAGCTGCCGTTTGGGGCAAGTGAAGCAGGGCCACCGAGGCTGGTTGGGTTTTAATTTAGCAGAGAGGGGGGTCGGAGCGGATCGGAGCCCCGCTGGATTAATGTGGACAGGGCAGCGCGGAGTGCCAGCAGGGCTACGAGGAGCAAACAGTCCGGGTCGAGTAGAGACACCGGCTAAAAGCTGCTGCTAACTCTGTTTAACTGTTAGCAGCAAAGTAACGCAGAGCAAGCAGCCAGCTTCTCCGGCTAATAGCCTCTCCACACCGCGGAGTGTGCAGCTTACACACGGCACGTCTCATCGGAGCTCCAGTCTAACACAGCACCTGGTGAATGAATGATGTCTGCCGCTAGCATTGACCCTCAGGTAAGCAGCAAACAGGGGGATACCTTCAGCTTCGGGTTTATATTTCTGCAGGAAGGAGAGATGAGCATGGTGTGCACCCCTCTCTGGAGACGATGCCCCCGCTGCAAGCTAAGGATAGCTGGAAAACTACTCACTGCTGGTAACAAACCAAGGCCTGGACCACAGCTCCCAGTGGGTATCAGAGTGGCCCTAACATACCACATCGCCGAGCGCTGATGCTTTTTATGTGTCAGTGAGGTTTTTCGGAGGAAATGTCTGAATACATCTCAGTGTGAGGCTAGGGTGATGTCTTAATGCTCTGAATTTTCCAGTCGTGACCCACACAAGCTCTCTCTCTCTTTTTTTTTTCATCCTCCCAAAACGACTGATAAGACATCGAAAGGACAAGATGCAAGCAAAGGTAAGAGATGATGGATCTCTAGATGTTTTCTGTATCTAGAGGGGGACAAACTGGCCTGGCAGGCTTATTACTGAGTGCATCACCACCTAATATGGAACATGTTTCTGTAGCGGTTTGTAATAGTGATAACCACTGCAAAAATCTTTTAAAATTAAGGTACCTCACATATTTCAAAAGGTCAGCTCCTAAATGCTATATTTATCAATCAGGAAGACAGAAAAATCAATTTTAATTCTCGGTACTCATCATTCACGTTGACCTCCTCTCCTTTGTCTACAGCTGTGTAGCACAAAGTGCACATCTTTTGGAAACCTATTTGTACATTTAGAGTGAATACATGCTGGTGTTTAGTTTGTATCATTATTAACTGCAATGTGAATATATCATGAGGTGTCATAATATTAAAAACGGGTGTTTTTCTTCTTTTTTTTAGCTTTGTTTTTTTTTCTTTCAAAGTGTGTGTATAATTTCCCATGTGCAGGTTTGATTCTATTTATTGCAGCCTTTTCAGTTTCAGTGCAGAATGGCTCCCTCCATCAGAAGGATGCTGTCCATGATAATGACTTTGAGCCCTATCTTACCGGCCAGTCCAGTCAGGTAGGAAAACTTTATTGAATCCCACAGGGGAATTCCCCTGTTACAGCAGCTCAAAAGCAGTGATGAGATGGAAAGCACTGAATAATAACAATGTAATATAGCGAAACTAGTCTTTGAGTTTTAGGAAGTAAAAGAATTAACATATGATCACATTGGTTAAATATACATGTGCGCACATATGCATGTTTGATCTGTTGAAAGGGAAAACAGTGTTTCTTTTAACTTTTTGGAGACCTTAAAAATAAAATGATTTTAGGATTTTAAGGTTTATCCTCTTATAACTTTGAATCAGTGTAGCGCTGGGCAGTATGACCAAAAAATCTGGTGAATTTTGTTAACATTATAAAAAAATATAAAACTCTTTAATGTCATCATTAAAAAAGAAATAAAATAAAATGAAACAGCACGACCAAAGGAACAAAAAGTCTGATCTTAGACTCTCATACCTAAAAATAGTATTTGGACTATACAGTCAAAACTAATATAATTTTTTTGGGCTGCTGTCTTTAAACAATGATTGTTTAGCTCATTAGCATTAATGTTTAAATGCAGCTTTCAAATAAAAACCATTTGAAATTACTCTTCCCAACTTTGTGGCATAAATTGTTCTGTCTCTGGGTAAAATCGCCAGTTAGCCTTGATTAGCATATTTTCTTCCCATCATGCTGTTCAGTGGTGTCATTAAGTAAGGTTTTCATTGGAATTGAATAGAGGGACACCTCTGGTTGATTGGTTCAGAGACAAAGTTATAGAGGCAAAGCTGAGATGGTCTTTGGACATGTGCAGTAGAGGGATTGTGGGTAGACTGGATGGATGGGTTCTGAATATGGAGCAGGAGGAAAAGACGAAGAAGACAGTAAAAGAAAGAGAATGTAGTGACGGAGGACATGCAGAAAGTTGGCGTGACAGAGGAGGATGCTGGTTTGTTTTGTGACATAATGTTTGCTTTGTTCAACAGCGTGACCTGTGGGTTTATAAGTGGTGTTTCCTATTATCACGTATGAGTCATGATTGCATCCGTGAGTCAAGTTGAGAAGAGGAAAGTAAAATATCTCAAATTCAACAAAGCAAAATAAAGTACCTTACTAAAAGGCGTACTAAATGGAGTGGAATCAGCACGACAATTATCAGGTGATTAAAGCGGTTCAGTATAACAGAGTGTAAGGTGTAGGGGACAGTGGAGTGTGGAGAAAAGGGTGAAAGAGCAAAACATTTACTTTGATTTTGTTAAAAGGATCTTTTTCTGTTTCTTTTTGCAGAATAACAGTTATCAGTCCATGACAGACCCTTACCTGTCCAGCTACTATGCCCCCTCTATTGGATTTCCTTATCCTCTCAGTGAGGCTCCTTGGTCTACAGGAGGTGATCCACCGATTCCCTACTTGACACCCTATGCCCCGCTCAGCAATGGAGACCACCACTTCATGCACGACACGGTGTTTGGGCAGCCGGGCGGGCTCAGCAGCAGCATCTACCCTCACAGGTTTAACTTCTTCCCAGAGAATCCAGCGTTCTCTGCCTGGGGCACCAGTGGTTCTCAGGGACAGCAGACTCAGAGCTCAGCCTACGGGGGGAGCTACAGCTACCCACCAAGCTCACTTGGAGGCACCTTAGTCCCTGATGGCCAGACAGGTTTCCATAGTGACACCCTAAGCAAGGCCCCAGGTATGAACAGCATAGAGCAGGGCATGTTGGGCCTCAAAATAGGCGGGGACGTGACTGGAAGTGGCTCAGGTGTGAAGAGTGCAGGCTCCGTGATCGGTGGCAGCGGCAGTGTAGCGGCTGCTGTTGCCACAGGCAACGGTGGCACACCAATGGGAATGCCCCCTCCGAAGCCGACATCGTGGGCTGCAATCGCTAGTAAACCTGCCAAGCTGCAGCAACAAAAGACCAAGAACAAGCCTCCTATAGTCGGAGGACCTCTGCCTCCACCTCCCATCAAACACAGCATGGACATTGATACGTGGGACAATAAAGGGACTGTGACCAAGATGGCCCCTCCTTTACCCCACCACCACCAACAGCACCAGCCCCAGCTTCACTCCCATGCTCCCAGTCTCTTGCCTCCCCTTCAGCAATCCCTGCATTCTGCCCAGTCCCTGGTGCAGCAGATGACCCTGCAGGGCCCTCCTCCGCCTCATTCTTACCAGAACCACAACTCTGCTCCCACACCTCAGACTCGCTGGGTAGCCCCACGCAACCGCAACTTGTGCTACGGTGGAGGAAGCTTGGACAGCAGCGGCTCCTCCAACGGCGGTGGTGTTGGTAATGGAGGGGGTGGGGTGGGGCCTCCAGACCTGGGATCAGAGTCCCACCCTGTGCTGGAGAAACTGAGAGCGGCCCATAGCTACAACCCCAAGGAGTTTGACTGGAACCTGAAAAACGGCCGCGTGTTTATCATTAAAAGCTACTCCGAGGACGACATCCACCGCTCCATCAAGTACTCCATCTGGTGCAGCACGGAGCACGGCAACAAGCGCCTAGACTCAGCCTACAGAGCCATGAACTCTAAAGGGCCCGTCTACTTGCTGTTCAGCGTCAATGGCAGCGGGCATTTCTGCGGCGTGGCGGAGATGCGCTCGCCGGTGGACTACGGCACCAGCGCAGGTGTGTGGGCGCAGGACAAGTGGAAGGGCAAGTTTGATGTGAACTGGTTGTTTGTTAAGGACGTGCCTAATAGCCAGCTGCGCCACATCCGCCTGGAAAACAACGACAACAAGCCGGTCACCAACTCACGTGACACTCAAGAGGTTCCTCTGGAAAAAGCAAAGCAGGTGCTCAAGATTATTGCCCAGTACAAACACACCACCTCCATCTTCGATGACTTTTCCCACTACGAGAAGAAGCAAGAGGAAGAGGAGGTGGTGAAAAAGGTAGACATGTCTTTGATATTAAATACAAATGAATGAATCTGTTAAGGTTTTGCTGCTGCTGTATGAAAAAAGTTAATGTGGGGGAAGAATGTTTTGTTCACATTTCTACTAAAATATCTTCTTTGGACCCTTGCTTTTCACTTTTGTTTGCACACATGCTCTACAGCATGTCCTGTGTGTTACTAGAGCTTCGCAATTGATCCGATTTTAATTTCTTGTGATTAGCAAATCAAGATAATCAAGAAGGTAATAAAGCGGCTATTTAAATCCATGTTTCCAAAGTGGGAAATCATAATGAATAATCACGATCTCAGTACTATCATTAATAAATCCTTTATTTAAAGACCTTCTCTCATTGAGGTGCACAAAAGAGTTACATTATTTAGTTCAAGACAGTTTAAGACAGACAGATACAGCAACACATTATTCGTTAATGTGCAAATTAAGAACAGCACCTACAATAGCTGTGACAGATACATATAAATAATCTGTGTGAAAATAAGGGTACAGGTAATATTTAACTGCCCTCTGGACACTGCAAGTGCTGTATTTTAAACAAAGAGCACA